CTACAAAGTTTTATGCTGGTGGCATGACTTTGCACTCCGCCTTCCGTTTTGGAATCAACCATCGTCCTGGTCAAATCCCCCAAATCCAATTCGGAAGCTATTTTGGCCGCCGAATAATCGAAAGTGATGTTGTCATCATTGATGAAATAACATTGCTGGAGATGACAATGTTAGAAAATGTTGACCTCTTATGCCGGACCATGGTTCCTTCCAAAAGGGATATTCCTTTTGCTGGTAAAGTGGTAATCCTTTCCGGAGATTGGAAACAGTCACTCCCAGTTGTTAAAAATGCCTCGGTACCAGAAATGGCAGTACCTGTTTGTATACAAAGTTCCCACCTTTATAAAATGTTTCTTAAAAATCGTCTAACCCAAAATATGAGACTCCAACCTTCTGAGGTCCAATTTAAACAGTGGCTTTATAATTTGGGTACTAATACCTCCCGGGATAAAATTGCCCTCCCTAAATCAATGATGGTAGAGACTCGTGATGAGCTAATCTCTTTCGTCTTTGATCAAGGGTTTACTATTAATAGTAGTCAACTTCTTACAAGATTAATGCTTGCCCCTACTAACCGATCCGTCGACTTTAATAATGACCTCATCCTCGCCTCCTTCAATAGTCAATCCCGAGACTATTATTCAGTAGACAGATGTCTCACTGATGACCCGTTAGACCCCTATGCCGCCCAACAAGATGTTTCTTATATTAATAACTTAACCCCCTCCGGTCTTCCCGCCCACCACTTACACCTCAAAGTAGGTTCTATAATTGTCCTCCTTATTAACCTTAACACAAGCAAAGGCTTGTGTAACGGTACCCGCCTAAAAATAGTTGCTCTTCGCGATCATTTAATAGAAGCTGAAACTATTTACGGCGTAAACCAAGGGGTAACTGTTGGGCTCTCCCGTACCCGAATGCAACACCAGGACCCACAAGATGGGGTTAGCTTCGTGCGCCTCCAATTCCCTGTCCGAACAGCCTTCTGCATGACTATTACAAAGGCCCAAGGCCAGACATGCGAGAGGTTGGGCATAGATTTCTCTGATGAACCCTTTGCCCACGGACAGCTTTATACAGCCCTCTCCCGTTGTACTAATAGTAATTTCATAAGAGTCTTCGCCCCCAATAAACCAAAAGATAATGATGGGAACACCCTTATAACCAATGTTGTAGCCCGTGGTATACAGTTTGACTAAGTCAAATTGTAGAACCCTTCTTATTATTGTAAATTCCACTTGAGCTTGGCTTTTTCTTAATACTTCCTCCCCATTTATAGCCCAGTGAGGAGTATATGGTACTCTGTTTACCACCGTGCACCTCCACGTGGTGTACTCTGGACGTTTTTGTAACAAAAAACGACTGAGCACGGTTAAAAACAGAAAAAATCTTATGTTCCTCCACATAATCTGTGGAGTACTGAGAAATTTTGGCCTTTAACTTAGAGGAAAATTTTTTTAAAAATAAACGGCCAACGGATTCGTTATCAGGGCCCCTTATAACCTATTATGGCCAAAAATTAGAAAATTTTCTCGAAAAAAATTTTCCCAAAATTTTTCAAAGGGGTACCCCTTATGAAATATTTCCGAAAAAGTTTGATCGGCCATAACTTTGTGAGTTTTGGTCTGATTCAAACAAACTTTGAATTATTAAATAAAGTCAAAAATTAGAAATTTTTTAATTATAAAAAATTAGAGAAAAACTTTAGGTTTGGGGGTCTTAGGGTCGATTTTTTGAAAATTCAAAAATTTTCAGTTTTTTCAACATTTAAAGGGATATGACCAGTGCAGGTTTCTGATTATATTTTTTAAAAATAAAGCCTGATTTTATACACATAATAAACTTTAAACTTTTCCAAAATCCACAAAACAAACGAAGTTATGATTTTTCAAAAAAATTTTTGAAAAAATCGAGCAAAATTTTTGGCCAAAATCTCAAACTTTACCAAAAATTTTAAAACCTGCCCAAATGATATATCAAATGGAAGCTCTTAATGAGCTGAGTATAAAAATAAAATCAGAAAAAATTTCTGACCATTTTGTACAAAATTATGAGTGACCAAATCTTGGGTCTCCACAAAGTCAGGCCAGGAGTGAAACTTTTTGGCCTCTAACTTGGAAGAAAAATTTTTTTGAAATAAACGGACAACGGATCCGTTAGCAGCGATCATTAAAACCTATTATGGCCAAAAATTAGAAAATTTTCTTGAAAAAAATTTTCTCAAAATTTTTCAAAGGGGTACCCCTTTGGAAATAATTCCTCAAAAGTTTGATCGGCCATAACTCTGTGAGTTTTTGTCCTATTCATACGAACTCAAAATTATTAAATAGAGAAAAAAATTAGAAATTTTTTAATACTAAAAAATTTCTGAAAAACTTAAGGTTTGGGGGTCTTAGGGTCGATTTTTTGAAAAATCAAAAATTTTTGGTTTTTTCAAAATTTAAAGGGGTACAACCGTTGGATGTTGTTGTTTATATTTTTATTAAATAGAGCCTGATTTTATACACATAATAAACTTTCAATTTTGTCAAAATACCTAAAACTAACAAAGTTATGATTTTTTCAAAATTTTTGGAAAAATTCGACCAAAATTTTTGGCCCAAAACTTTAACTTTTCAAAAAATTTTAAAAGGTGGGCAAATGATATATCAAATGAAAGCTCTCAGTGAGCTGAGTCTAAAAATACTATCAGAAAAAATTTCTGTCCATTTTGTACAGAGTTATGACTGCCCAACTTTCCCACCCCAGCCAATAAAATTTCTAGCCGCGCGCGAAGCGCGCCCCAAAGCCGATAGGCTTTCCAACGGGCACCCCAAAATTTTACCGCCAGAGTATCCTATTTAGGCACCCAGCTATCCGCCGCCTGCAGCTATCCGCGCCATAGCTAGTTACATTATACCTATAATAAATAGAAAATTTTTTTAGAAAAAAAAATATCGGCCGGCCGAAGGCCGGCCGCTTCCTGAGAGTGCGACATCTTGGGGGGTACTTTTAATGGGCTTTTCAGGAAAAATACCGCTGGGACCATACGATGAACTTTTGGCACTGAAACGGCCGTGGCGAAGTGGCCAAATCCTGAACCGTCCGTCGGATCGAAAAACGCTTGCTGGGAGGAAACTAAGTTGGACTAAGGCTAATCCAACAAAAAAAAAATTTTGAAAATCCGATGAACCCCCGGGGACTTATAGGTGCGCAAAAATTTTTGGGACGAAATGGGGTCGGCGAAAAACGTGGTTTTTTGCGTAAAAATATGGAATAGAGAGAGCGATACAGACAGGGCCATGGATTTATAGGTAATCGGCCATGGGGAATTTTTTGGGTAAGGTCATTTTGGTGCCACACTCAACTGTGGCACCGAAATGGTCGGATGAAAAATTCAAATGACCATAGCGGTTTTTCGGAGGCCCGGGGGTTTTCAGGCCTGGGAGTCATGTTGTAGAGGAGGATGTGGGGATTATTTCAGTAGTTGGTCACTTAAGTCTGTGATCAACTTTTGGGGGTCATATGGTCCAAATAGTCGGAATCAAAAAGTCAACTTTTTTTAAAGGGTCATTTCACCCGTTTTTGATACCCTATCTGAAAGAGCATCCCCTGGGGCTCCGAAAAAGGTAACCTTTGTTGGGGGTCCACTTGAGTCTCAAAAAGTTATAGACAATGTGGCCAAATGTCGCAAAACTTTATGAGACTCTAACGACCCGGGGAATTTTTTTAAAATTTTTCTGACGCCGGATTCGTAGTCAGCAGGTGTCAAAGCACCATATAGGCCATTTAAAAAAAATTTTTTTTTCCGACCCCATCCCCTACTCAAAGTGTCCGAAATTTCGTTTTTTCGGGATTTTTTTTCGAAATTTCCGGTCAAGGTATATAAATTATATATCATTGAACTGAGAAAATTCAGGCGGTTCGAATGATATATAATTTATCTACCTTGACCGGAAATTTCGAAAAAATGTTCCCAAATGTCGTTTACACTCTGAAAAATTATTTTTGAGTATTAAATTTTGAAATTTTTTTAATTAATTTTTTTGCGCCAAAAGTCGGTGGTAAACTTCGTGCGGTAAACCCTTTTTTAATTTTTTTTAACAATTTTTTAAATTTTTAGCTCAAAATATGGATATCCAACAAATTCTGCGACGGAAGTTGTAAAAATTTGTTTGTTTTAAATTTTTATTTTTTTTTGTCAAAATTTTTAGTTTTCGGATTTTTAGCAAAAATCCGTATTTCAGTAGAATTCCGCAAACGTTGCGGACAAGTTATGCGGACTTTTTAGGTGAAATTTTTCGGAAGAAATTTCCGAATATTTTGCGGTTTTTGCAAATTTAATCAAAATCCGCAATAACTTGCGGACAATTTTTGCGGACTTTTTTGTAAAATTGTCCGCAAGGAATTTCCGCAAATTCGGCGCAACGTTAATAAATTTGAAAAAAAAACGCCGTACTTACGCAAATTCATTGCGGACAGGTTACTTAATAAATCCGCAAAAAATGTCCGCAAGTTTTTTTCGGATTTTTATTAAATTCTTTAAAGTCCGCAAATATTGACCGCAGAAAAAGTCCGCAAAATATTTTCCGCAGAAAATGCTGCAAAATATTGTCCGCACATATTGTCCGCAAATATTGTCCGCAAATATTGTCCGCACATATTGTCCGCAAATATTGTCCGCAGAAAAAGTCCGCAAATATTGTCCGCAAAATATTGTCCGCAGAAAAAGTCTGCAAATATTGTCCGCAAAATATTGTCCGCAGAAAAAGTCTGCAAATATTGTCCGGAAAATAGTGTCCGCAGAAAAAGCCCGCAAATATTGTCCGCATAAAAAGTCAGTAAATATTGTACGCTCACATTTTTTTCCTATTTTATTTCACATTTCCCGTTATTTTAACTCGCGTTTCGTATTATTTTCTTCAAGTATTTTTGCGTGTCTTAATTTTTTAAATTTTATTTTTAATAACTTTTTTTCTTTTCAGATTATAAAAAATACTTTAAATTAAAAATTAAATTACTTATTCGCCTTCCAAAATGCCCTCAAGACAATATAGAAAGAGAAAAGAACGTAGGGAGCGGCACCAAAATTTAGGAGGACATATACAAAACGGTCCTCCTCAGGACCAGGGGGAAACCCCGGATATTTCTGTCCACCCAAACGAAGTTCCGCCTTCTGAAGTTCCTAATCTTTCCCGTAATGACTCCATCCTCCCCAACGAAGGTCCTTACTTTACTTTTGACAACGTTTCAATTATTGACCAGTCCCAAGACACTCATATCCCTGACCAACCTCCTACTCCTACTACACCTTTAACCCCATTCTCTTTGACATCCGAGGCTGCTGTTCCGAGGAAGCAGAGGAATATACGAGAGTCCTCCATTGACACTGAAAGTTTAATTTCCTCTATTGATTCTGTTTCCATTTGTTCATCCCGTCCATCTTCACCTTCTACTTCATTTAAAAATAAACGGGGTCGCCCAAAGAAACACACCCGGAAAGGATCTGGCCGTAAACCTAAAACTCTTCCACAAGCTAATCCATCCGTCCCAATTATTGATTTTTTCAACATTCTTTTACTTAACTTCGTTACCCAAAAAACCAATGACCCTAATGCAATATGTAACCGAACCGATATGCCACTCCACCATGACAATCTTGAAAATAATCCCCTTCATATTGAAATACTCTGGAATAATTTAACAGAGTGGCTAGAAGGCCAAGATATTTTTGGTTTTATTTGCTTTCTTTCCCGAAATGTAAACACCAACACTGTTATAGTTGATCCGCGTACTACTCTTCCTTTTGATATGAATTATGCTCATAACCTTCCCGATGAAGACTTTTTTGCCCGTTGTTATGGTTTAGTTCAAGGCCAATTACCTCAAGTCATAGTATTCCCACTTAATTTTCCTGGCCATTGGACTTTAGTCGTATGGGATGCGACTGAAAATACTGCTTTTTACATCGATTCTACGTGCACTCATCTCCCTTCTCGTATCCATGCCGATGAAAGAGCTCCAATTGTCAAATCTTATATTACACGCATAACCAATATTCCTATAAATGATATTAATATTGTCGATTATCCCCTTTCTCTTTATACACACCAACAAGATGGCTATAGCTGTGGCTATTTTACCTGTTTGTATGCTGAAGCTTGGCTCTTTAATAACCGTAATATGTTATTTGAACCTTTTAATATTAACACCGAAAAAAAGAGAATCCTTTGGCACCTTAACAATCTTTTGACCGGCGATAATTTTGAATATCATCCTCGTACACTAAATATTCCACATGTATTTCCTGATAATCCAACGTCTCACCCCATACAAAATATTCAACATATAGTTCTTGATGACCCACCATTTCACCCCACACAAAATATTGACGATGAAATTCCTGATGAAGGCGTGGTAGTTAACACTCAGCCTATAATTTTCTTAGAACCCGACCCTCCATCGAAAAACCTGCGTCGCTCAGAACGGATTAAAACAAAATTGAATGCTACACCAACCCCTACAACCTCTAAAGCTTCACCTATTGTCCCTTCAAGTCCCTTATCCCACCCATTTGTCGATAAATGTAATAAGAAACATAAAAAAGACTTTCCCTGTGCTGATGCTCGTGCAAGACATACAGCTGTGTATTATGACTCTGGCAATTTAGGTGATGCCATTTGTGATTATTGTAAAGCATTATTATTTAAGTCTGAAGTTCACAAAACCCATAAATATGCCTTTAAACGTATTGCTTCATCCTTTTGTTGTAAACTTGGAAAAGTTACTCTTCCTCCTTACACCCCTCATCCCAAATACTTGGTAGATTTGTTAAATGGAAAGTCAAAAGAATCCAAAGAATTTCTTAAAAACCAAAATATTTATAATACCCTCCTGGCATTTGCCTCAATTTCCTGCGGTCATGAAGACTCTTCCCTATATGGAGCAACATGTTTTATGTTGAACGGAGAATTTTCCCGTATGCTTAGTTCAATGTTCTCTGGCCATTTAACTCCTTCTTTCTCACAATTATATATTCTTGACGCAAACGAAGCCCTTAATTTACGCACCCAAAATTCCCAATATGGTGGAGATCGTGTCGACCCATCAACCCTGAAAAAGTTAGATCAAATGCTTAGAGATAACCACCCATTTCCCAAGGTATATAAAAATTTCCATACTTTATACAAAGAAACCCTCGAAAGGGATGGCCCTGATTCTGTGAAACATTTCCGCTTAACTCTCATAGAAGAACGAGAGGCCCCTGTTATTATTAGAGACCCTACTCATCATCCTCGACAAGTTAATTTACCCGACGAAAAAGCAATGTTTTCAATTTGCACTGAATCCGATCAACCCCCAATTAAAGGTATCTATATTACTGATCTTCAAGGTTCATTATTTGAATTTCCCTATTACCATCCCCATGTAGACTCTGCTACTTATCCTTTACTTTTTCCTAACGGAGATGATGGATTCCATGAAAACTATAAATTTAATAAAGTTACAAAAACTTCTAATAATACTAATTTATCTGATAATTCCTGCTCTGATGACGAACTCGACCATGACACACACAAACCTACTCTTTCCTTACGCGACTACATCCGATACCGTTTAGCTATACGCAAAGACGAGCCACTTCATAATATTTTTAGTGCAGGAGGTGGCCTTAGTCAAAAGTTCGTTCTTGACTACAACGCCAGAATAGATGCTGAGGTAGCAAGTTTCCTTAGAACTGAAGCCCTTGATATGAAGAAGACCCACAAAAAAAATATTCTCCATCACATTGCCCGAGGTGCTAATGCCCAATCTATTGGAGATATAGGAAGTTTAGTCATGTTTCGAAAATATCATCCTGGCACACGTCCTTACTTTCAAAATATGTTTTACAATGCTACCACCATTATGGCTCGCACACGTAAACCAGGTTGTGCTGCTTTTATGCTAACCTTTACTTCTAATCCCCATTGGCCCGAAATCAAGCGAAATTTCCTCCGCCCAGACCAGAAACTGGTAGACCGTTTCGATATAATTTGTCGCGTCTACGAAGATAAAAAGCGTCACCTAACCCACCTTATTAACAAAAAAAATATTCTTGGCAAAATCCTTGGCTCAGCCCAAAGCCGTGAATTCCAAAAGAGAATTGGAGGCCCCCATCTTCATAGAGTGTATTGCACTGACACAGAAGCAACCCCAGATAATATCGATGGTTTAATCTGGGCCTATATTCCAACAGAACCACCACATTCTGATAAATCAGATTGGGCAAACTTCATTAGAAAAATTCGTGAGCTACTCCCAAAATTCCAACTTCATGACTGCGGTGCACACTGCAGAGGCAGTAATGGCCGTTGTAAGAAAGGTTTCCCAAAACCTTATTGCACTAAAACCAAACTCCACGCTAATACGCCTGCAGATTATTATCGCCCAAGTCCCGAAGATGGTGGTGAAGTTTTAGAGATTCCACGCGGACAAGCCACCATTAAATACACCAACTCTCAAGTTGTCCCTTATAACCCATTAATCCTCGTAATGTTCGAATGCCATCACAATCTGGAATATTGCTACGGCCAGTCCGACAACCTCAAATATGCCCTCAAATATCCCTTTAAAGGTGCCATGTTTTCTTATGTAAAAACAGCTGCCGGCAAAATTAATGTCGACGAACCTGCCCAATACGCTAAAATGATTTACAGGAGTCCTACTGAGGCTTATTCACGTATTGAAGGGCTTAAATACGCTGAACTCTCCCATGCTGTTATTCCACTTAGCATCCACATGCCCGATGATCCACCTGTTATCACAACTCCAGCAAACCGCAAACAAAAAATAGCTGCTATTGCCCGTGGAAAAGATCCCGAGACCCAATTAACTGCTTACTGGAAACTTTGGGCCAATGATAAGGCTAACCCTTCAATCAAAAATATTTTATTTGAACACCTTCCAGAAACCCATGCCTTTCATACAGATGTGCAACAGTGGTTACCCCGAAAAAGGAAAACTGAAAAAGGAAATCCCGTTATCGGTCGTATCTACCCGGTTTCCCCAAGAGAACAAGAGTTGTTTGCCCTTTATGTCCTTACAAAACACTTCCCTGGTGATCCCGACCACCTTCTTACCGTCAATGGTGTTAAATATACATCATTTGCCGAGGCTGCAAGGCAGCATGGACTTTTCGAAGACAACTCTGTCTGGGAACGCACTCTCAAAGAAGGTTCTCAATCACTTAACCCCTCTCAGATGAGACAGTTATTCGTAAATATTCTTTCATTCGGCTCAACCTCATCCTGCCTTATTGATGCATTACACCTTTGGAATATGTTTATAGATCATATGTATGACCGTCGCCATTGCACTGACGCTCAACGCCCCATTCGTATTGACAGAGCTCTTGCCATTATTGAAAGATATTTACTCTCTAATGGTAAAACTATGTCCCATTATAATCTTCCAAATCCTACCAATTCCCTCACTGATGACCCTGATGCAGCAATTGACAACTTCTTTTTCCCCCAACATTTGAACGATGACGATACAGACGCAACTGTCGACACTTCTTCATTTGACAGTGCCCAATTAAACCCTGAACAACAAAACTTTTTTGACCTCATTATTAATTCTGTTACAGAGGATAATTCCACCCAAAAACTCTTTTTCTTATCCGGTGATGGCGGCACAGGCAAAACATTTTTATTAAATTTCCTCCTTTACCACTTGCGAAGAAACGGCAAAAAGGTTCTTCCTACTGCATCTACCGGCATTGCTGCCACCAAATTTTATGCCGGTGGCATGACCTTACATTCCGCCTTCCGTTTTGGTATTGACCACGAACCTGGCCGCCTTCCCAGCGTTCCATTCGAAAGTTTTTTCGGACGCCGAATTATTGAGAGCAGTGTTGTAATTATTGATGAAATTACAATGCTCGATAGGACCTTATTCGAAAATGTCGACGCCCTTTGCCGTAAAATGATTTCCCGAAATAAGAAAATTCCCTTTGGTGGCAAGGTTGTCATCATTAGCGGTGATTGGAAGCAATCACTCCCTGTTGTAACCGACACATACGCCCCACAAGCCGCAGTGGCTGCTTCTGTCCAAAGTTCAACCCTTTATAATAAATTCCACAAAACCCGTCTAATGCAAAATATGCGCCTCCTCCCTTCCGAGATTAGATTCAAAGAATGGTTATATAACCTTGGAACTGACACTTCTGGTAATAAAATCGCTATCCCTAAATCCATGCTTGTAGAAACTCGTGAAGAGTTAATTTCCTTCGTATTCGACCAAGGCTTTAATATCCCAAGCAACCAACTCCTCACCAGACTTATGCTCGCACCTACCAATAGATTAGTCGATTTGAATAATGACCTCATTCTTTCCTCTTTTAATAGTGAAGCCATGGACTATTATTCACTTGATAAATGTCTTACTGAAAACCCATTAGATCCTTATGCCGCCCAACAAGACGTATCTTATCTAAATAATGAAACACCAAAAGGATTTCCAGCCCATCATTTACACCTCAAAGTAGGAGCAATTATTGTTCTACTAAGAAACCTTAACACAAACAAAGGCTTGTGTAACGGCACCCGGCTTATTGTTAAAAAACTTACCACTAATTTAATAGAAGCCGAGACAATTAGTTTATCTTCAACCCAAGGAGTAATTGTTGGTATTTCCCGAGCCCTCCACACTTACAAAGATGAACGCCCTGATGGAATTAGCTTTGAACGCTTCCAATTTCCCGTTCGAATAGCCTTTACTATGACCATTACCAAAGCCCAAGGCCAAACCTGTGAGCGACTTGGAGCCGATTTGTCCGAAGAACCTTTTGCTCATGGCCAACTCTACACCCTCCTGTCCCGGTGTACTAATAGTTCAAATATTCGTATCTTTGCCCCAGAAAAAGAAACAGATTCAGATGGAAATGTCCTAATCAAAAACGTTGTTACCCCCGGAATCCAATTTGATTAAAACCAGTCAGTCACTAAACATAAGCTAAATTTTCTCTAAAAAATCACTCTATCCGCGGTTTTGCTCTCAAACCGCCTACCAGGCTTTATGATGGTGGGTGTTGTCATGGTTTGCAGCAATTAAAGGAATAATTTTTCAATAAAATATTTAACTAACATTTTTGTTAAAATTCATTTTTGTATTTTTCAAAAATTTTAGTTTATATTAACTATTTTTTCTAAAAATAGGGATCACAATAAATTACTGCGGCCATGACGGGGAGTATAAACCGTTTTGACTGACTGTAAAAGGATAGAGGATAGACCGGTGAAGACAGGATCGCCTTATGCAGGTGCGTTCAGTGGACGCACAGGATCCTACATTTGGCCGTCTTGTAGCTCCCATTATTTTTTCCACCACCGGTCTATTTATGCCTTCCACATCACTTCCTTTCACATTTTCCTTTAACGTTATTTACTCCCACTACCCTCTCAATTACCGATTCCCATCCAATCTACGCTTCCCACTCATTTTTCCTATTATTATGCGATGTGCTTCAGAATTGAAGGTACCGCTCTCCAATTTTATCTACCCTTCCTTCCTTTCCACCCTTCCCTGGGGTACAGGGTTTGCCCGGTTACCTCCATGCACCTCCACGCGGTGTACCCTGGATATTTACTAAGCATGGTTAAACCCGGGAATTTTCATAAAAGTTTTTACTTCTCCATTCTATATTTTCCTATTCTTTTTCGATGTGTCCTCCCATACTTCCCTATTTATAGTCGACGAGTTTCAGCGTTGAAGGTGCCGCTCCTTCCCATTTCTTTCTATTTTCCCCTCCCATTTCCTATTCCTATGCGATGTGCTTCGTAATCGAGAAGGTACCGCTTCCTTCCCCTTTTTATTTTTTACAATTTTTCCACTCCCATTTCCTATTATGCGATGTGCTTCGTAATCGAGAAGGTACCGCTTCCCTCCCATTTTTTAATTTTTTTTACTATTTTCCCCTTCCATTTCCTATTCCTATGCGATGTGCTTCGTAATCGAGAAGGTACCGCTTCCCTCCTATTTTTTAATATATTTTACTATTTTCCCCTCCCATTTCCTATTCCTATGCGATGTGCTTCGTACTCGAGAAGGTACCGCTTCCCTCCCATTTTTTACTTTATTTTTTACAATTTTTCCCCTCCCATTTCCTATTCTTATGCGATGTGCTTCGTAATCGAGAAGGAACCGCTTCCCTCCCATTTTTCCCTATCCTAATGCGACGAGCTTCAAATAGTGAAGGTACCGCTTCCACACCCACCCACTTTTATTTATTTTTTTTATTAGTTTTTTATCTTTACTCCCTTCCTCGGTCCTTGGTAGATTTTGAAATATAGGTCCTCCCTTCCCTGGGCAGTACAACCGATGTACTCTGGAAAAATTGATACTCCATTCACCCCCCCCCCCCGTTCCTGGAAGTGTACAATCGATGTACGTCGAAAATATGGGTCACCTCTCCTCTACCTGGGAACGTACAACCGATGTACGTTGCAAAATGGGTCTCCCCCCCCCCCCGGGTGGGGTACAGGGTTTGCCCGTTTACCTCCATGCACCTCCTCGTGGTGTACCCTGGGCATTGCCATATTTATATGGCAATGGCTAAGCATGGTGAAAAACGGGAATTCTATTCAAAATTTTTTAGTATAATTATCTTGGTATAACTCCAACGTTCTCTCGGCCCCTGTTATGTGATTCTAACTAAATACAAACGCCCTGTACCCTAGCATTGCCAAATGTTTATATGGCAATGTTTCGCGATCAATTTTTAACTTTTAATTTATAACAATTTTAAATATAATTTTTTTTGTTTAGATAAAAAAAAATATTCAATTAAATTAATTATTATTAAACAACATTTATTATATTCTTGCTAAATTAGTATTATTTCAATCCGAAATTTTGGTTATAGTAGCGTTTATTCCCCCCCCCCCCCCATAATTTGTACTTTATTGAAAGTATGTACATTAAAATCGACATTTTGCCATAAAATAAAGAAAACTGGCTTAAGGACCTCCAAAATTCTCAAAATTTTCGCCTGCAGCGCAAAAAAGGAAGAAATCTGGCTTAAGGACCTCTAAAATTGGCAATTTGTGGAATAAACGCTACAATTACTTTGAATTTTCCCTTAATTGTAATTTTAGTTATGCAACGTAATCAATTAGAAGAGGGAGAAATTGAAGAAATTGAAGAAAATGAACAACAACAACAAAATAACCAACAACAACAACTTCCACAACAACAACAAATTCCACCACAACAACAACAAAATAATCAACGTCGAGAGAATTTAGCTCTCTTAGATAATGTACAAGCGATTTTAGAAAGACGCTATGAGTTGAATCGCTGGGTCAGAGGTGGATCAGAGGTGGATCGGAATTCCGACTTCCGACGTTCTTTTCCTTCCGATTTCCGCCGTTTTTCCTCCCAATTTTCGACGTTATTCATTCCAATTTTCAACGTTTTTTGCTATCAATTTCCGACGTTTTTTCCTTCCGATTTCCGACGTTTTTTTCTTCCGATTTCCGCAGTTTTTTCCTATCAAGTTTCGACAGTTTCTCCTACGATTTCCGATATTTTTTTCTTCCAATTTCTGATGTTTTATTCTTCCAATTTCCGACGATTTTTCCTTCCAAGTTCCGCCGTTTTTTTGCTATCAATTTCCGACGTTTTTTCCTTCCGATTTCCGACGTTTTTTTCTTCCGATTTCCGCAGTTTTTTCCTACCAAGTTTCGACAGTTTCTCCTACGATTTCCGATATTTTTTTCTTCCAATTTCCGATGTTTTATTCTTCCAATTTCCGACGATTTTTCCTTCCAAGTTCCGCCGTTTTTTTGCTCCGATTTCCGAAAAACATCTGCTACTGATCCGACCCACCTCTGGTAATCCCAAGATGTCAGCTTATCCAATAATTATACAATTAAAATACTTTTTTAGAATGATTTTTCAAGACGTTATCGGCAACGTCATCCAAATGTCGGAGGTTAGCTAACAAAAGACACGCTCCAATGGTCTCCTTACCATTTGGGTGGTTTCACACCTTTCCTATTTGTGTCGACTTTTTCTTTGAGCCTTATATATCATTCAAAAAATATAGCTAAGTCGACTTAACTGAACACTTAACTGAACACATGTATGCCCAATTGTTTTAATCTCTTGAGAGGACAAAAGTAACTGACCATGTTTTAATCAATCATAGTTCGACCCAACTCGATGAGCTCTTTCGAATGATATATAATAAAGTATTATCACCCAACTAAGCTTATTTAGGTACGGGATACGGGGATTCCATAATACTTTATCTTTTAGGAATCGGCCGCGGCGTTCCACCGCGGGCCCGCCATCAAGGGGTCCCGCCCGCGGGGATGGGCTCCCGCGGGGCCCGTGGGATTGGCTATAGCCCGTACGGCCGCCCGCCTCCTTTAATGGCGGTGCCAATTATGGCACCGCCAATTCAACAGACACAACAACAACAAAATAATATAAATTTCCATTTTTATGGAAATAATCAATTTAATTTTCGTTGAAGAAAAATTGTTTTATGACAGCTCGATGAGCTCTTTCGAATGACATAAAATGAAAAAAATTTTTTCAAATTAAAACATTTTTTTATTAAAATAAATTTTTTTCTACAAAAATTAGGGTGGTCCAAAACATTCAAATGCATTTTTTTAACGATATGACTTTATGAAAGAAGCTCAAAAATGGTGTTTTAGCAATTTTGGACCAGCTTTCAAATACAAATACCGTAAGTGCTCTAATAATTACCCTGGGTCATTTTTGTTTCAACCTCGCGTTGGAGGGAGTAAATAATCGAGAGGATGGGCTAAATTTGGGGTATATCTCAATAAATTGAATAGGAAATCTATTTATTTTTTGATATTGATTCTTACAATGTTTCAATAATTTAATTGAAAATGATTTTTTCAATATTTTTAAATTAGAGAAGGAAAGGAAGGGGGTATTTATTAAAGAGAGTAATTATTTGAGAGAGGATATTATTCGAGCATTTACGGTAATTGCATATTTCAGCTCTCTCGTGCACATTTGCATATTTGTCCAACTTTTTGAAATTTTGTAAATTTTACATACAAAAAATGTTTTATAGAAATGTATTAGATTTTTTATTTTCTGGACCACCCTAATAATAATATATTGTACCAAATTGGTTACACTTTGATAAATTTTTTATATTATGTTTTGTTTTCAGGAAATTACAATGGGAATCCAGGGACTAAAAATGGGACTCCGGGTACATCCCCCCCTCCCCCCCCCCGGGTGGGGTACAGGGTTTGCCCGTTTACCTCCGTGCACCTCCACGTGGTGTACCCTGGGCATTGTTGTATAATTATAAAATATTATACAACAATGGCTAAGCACGGTTAAAACGGGACGAGTTGAATTCAAATAAAGAATTGTAAATTTCTAGCAGCGCGCGAAGCGCGCCCCAAAGCCGATAGGCTTTCCAACGGGCAGAGCCCAATTTAAACCCAAAGCAAAATTAAACCGCCAGAGTATCGTAATAGGCACCCCAGTGGTTAAACCCACAGCTAGTTTTTTTTATTTAAAATAAATATTTATTTATGTATTTTTTATTTCTTTTTTGTATTATTTCAATTAATATATTAATTCTTTGTCAAGCAACTGGAAACCAATCACTTTTGAATAATAAATCTTTGTGTATGTTTATTTAATAGAATTTGTAATCTCCTAATTCTAATTAAGTGACGAGTTCTTCTTTTGTTGTAAATGGAATAAAAAATAATAAAATTTTAAATAAAAAAAGATTGGATTTTTGGGGAATAAATAGTAAAAATAAAATTTTTCCAAAATTATTTTCTGTTAATCCTTTAAATAAAAAAAATTTTGTAATAAAAAATGGAAATGATGATAAGCAAATAAAAATTAGATTGGCAAAATCTGAGGATGCTAAAGCTTTATTCTCGTTAATTAAAGAATTGGCAGAATTTCATAAAATGTCCAAAACAATTAAAATTACTGCCGAGCAAATAGAAAAAGATTTAAATTCCGGGTTTTTGCATTCATTGATAGCTTTTGGAGAGAAAGGGGAAATAGCAGCTTATGCTCTTTACTATTTATATGAATCCAGTACTAAAAGCATGGGTAAAGGTAAAAGTAAAGTCTTTATACAAGACACAATTTCGTTAATTTGTTACCTAAAATTTAAAATTAATAAAAGTTCCTCAATAACAGTCATTAGCAAACTTTTAAATCTTCTAAATAATCAAAACTTTTTAAAATTAATTACAAAAAGAGAATATTTCTCTGTACAAAATTCCTTAATAGCTACAATAAACATAAACTCTTGCTTAGGTCAAATAATGCACCTTGAGGATCTTTATATTCGCCCACAGTTCCGTCGAAAAGGAATTGGATTTTTATTGTTGGAGGAATTAGCTAAAATAGCTTATGCCGAAAACCTTCCTTTTATTGAATGGCAAGTATTGCGTTCTAATTATGGGGCAATTAAATTTTATAAAAAACTTTCTGGATTAACTGACTTGACTGACGGGAAAGGTGAAAATAAATGTAATTTATGGCGTTTATCTGCTCAGTCATTCGATCATGTTTTGCAAAAGGAAGCAAAACAAAAGGAAAGTGACGAAAAATTGATAAAAGAAATTTATTTGGATGGAGAGGGGGAAATCTCTGAAAGTAATTCTTTTTACCTTGCTGAACAATGGAATAATTTGATTAAATCACAAAAGAATGGAGAGGAAGAGGAAAACAAAGAAGTTCTCCCGTCATTAGCAAAACTTTTAAATTCTGGCCTTCTAGGAGTTATTGTTGTAAAGAAGAAGGAAAATAATAAAATTGTGGGAATGGCATTCTTTAATAGAAAAGGTTATTCGACATGGCAAGGACGATTCCTTATTTTGGATAATATTTTAATTGTGGATTCTGAAAAACAAAAGGGAATTGGGACTTCAATAATGGCAGAATTGGTTAATATTGCACAAAATATGGAAGCAAATAAAATTCAATGGGAAACAAATGAGGAAAATAAAATAGTTAATTCTTTTTTTAAATCATTAAATGCTGAAAATTTAACTGAAAATGAAGGCTGGTTGATATATCGTTGGTATTTTAATAAACAAAAATAGAAAAATATTTGAAGTAAAAATTGTTATTTTGGGGGAAAAAAAGAAGAAAAGAATATCATTTCTAATAGAAAATTAATTAAAAATAAAGTTTATTTTTATTTAAAATGTCTTTTCAGTTTTTTCTTTTTTATTTTAAATTTAATCTGACATTCTCACATTTAATTAAATTAATATCTTTTAAATTAATGGGAATTCAATAAAGTTGTGTGAATGCAAACTATGCTTCTTTAAGCAATTATGCGTGTAAACTCTATGACACCTAATGAACTCAATTTGGTGATTTGATTGTGATTAGAGCTAGAACAAATCTAGTATTTCGAATTCAAATTCGACCGATGTGTATTTGCAAATTAAAAGTATTCGCTTTAAATTCACTTTGTGTTTAATATTTTCCAATCTCTAAATGTGACAATGTTTAAGTTTATACTTTCAACCCAACTTTGCTTTTAATTATAAATTTAAATATTTTAAAAACAAAATATATAAAAGTATAAATAAAATATTTTCTCATTAGATTATTTAATTTCAACACGGATTTTTAGTAATCACACCAGGACAACGGTCATAACAAAACATAACCGTACATAAACGTTTTGCACGTAAACGAACATTTGGATCTCTAAATAAATAAAAAAAAAGAATATTTAATTATTTTAAACTTACAAAACTTCAACTTCAGCCAATTCAGCAGTTAGAAAAGCTTCATAAAATAAAAATAATTGAATTAAAACAAAAAATTGGAAAATAATTAATTTATTCATTTTTTTAAATTAAAAAAATATTTTTGGAAACAATTTTGTTAAAGAAAAATAAATATATCTTTAAATACTTCAAAAATTAATTCACTAAAATATTCTCCCATTACTAATAGTTTATTTAATTATTTTATTCATTAATTTCCTCCAAAGTACTAGCAACCACTTTTATTTAAATTGGAAGAAATTCTTCAAATATTTTTTAATTAATTAATTAATTAGTAATTTATTATCCAAATAATTACTAATATTTTTAATTTAAAAAATAACATTTTTGTTTCTATTTAAATGAACAAATTTTAAAATAAATCAAGAAGACAAAACTTTTCGTAAAATAATGCTTTCTAACTCTTTTAATATTTTAATTATTTTAATATTTTTATTATTTAAAAACATATTTTCAATTCCAGGTAATTTTAAAATAAATAAATAAATTTATTTTTAAATTAAAGTTTATATCGAAACACCTAATGAGGATTTGCATAGATTTGTCCGGACAGTAATTTGTTGCTATGGATGTTGCGATAAAGATCCGTGGCCTGGAAAATAATTGAAAGGGAATTTTGGATTGAAAAGAATTAATTTTAGAAATTAATTTTAATTAAAAAAAATTAAATTATTAATTTCATAATTAACGAGAATAAATAAAAAGTGCTTTTTTGGTTACTGTATAGAAGCAGAAATGACGTAAAAAAGCTTATTGTAGCACTTTTAAATATTTTTGTTTGATGTAATTTACAAAAATAAATTGTCTAAATTTTGTTTTTATCTTTTCTTGTTTAATCTTTAATTAATTTTATATCTTTTTTATTTGACAGGGATTACAGTAATTAATTGAAATGTCTGTTAAATGGGAGGGGGGGGGGGGGTATTTAAATTGAAAAATAAATTAAATAAATAAATAAAATAAATAATTCCCTAAATTTAATTAAATATTAATTTAAATTAAAATTTCTTTTCAATTAAATCTTGTAAATTAATTAAAACAAAAAATGTATTTGATTACAATAATTTTTATTTTTGTTTTTTTGTTTATCGTTTTTGTTGATTGTGGAATATTTCCAGCTTTACAAACAAAAAATTATTTGGGTATTTTTATTCAAGTTCCCTTCCAAAAAATTTATTTTTATTTATTTTTAGGACCCCCAATAAAAACATCCATCAACATCAACAACAGCAATCCCCACTCCTTTCCTGTCTTGTCTTTAAAAACAAAAAATAACCCTCCAAAAATATTTTCTTTAAAAATAGATTCATCAGAAACAAAAAACAAATTCAAAAATTTAAATAAATTTCCTTCAATTTTTCCAAAAAATTTTAAAAAATCAAAAATTTCTTCTTGTTGGAATAATAATAATTACCCTACAGAAGAAGAAGGAGAAGATAAAGAAGACTATCCCTCCCATTCATTATTTAATAAATCTAATAAAATAGCCAAAATACTTGTTTGGGAATTTCAACTTTATAAATTAAATGAGAAATTGGAGGGGACAAATGATTGGGGACAACAATTAAATAAAGAAGAAAGAGCTAATGTTATTTTAATTTCTGAATTGTTTAGTTGGTTAACATTAAAAGAACATTTAAATGTTAATTTAAAAAAAGCTGTTGGATTATTAATTGCTTTGAGGGAAAGTGACAGAATTTTACAGAATGCCAATTTTCTTTGTAGTGTTTTTAATTATTTAAAAAGAATTGAGGGGGAAAAGGAAGAAGAAAAAGAATTACTTAATCGGTGGACTTTGGATGAATTAAAAATTAATTTTTGGAATGTTTTGGAAATTGAGGAGGTTTTTATTGAAATTTTGTAGAGGGAGATATTTAAATAAAATCTCTCTCTTTTAAATTTGAAATTTAATGGAAATAATGTGTAAATTGTTCTAAAATACGAGTAGAAAAGGCGATGAGTATTTGATCTAATTTTTACCTATCTCCATTACTATTTTTCCAACCCCAAATTTTTTTATTAAAAAATCTGTTCAGATTTTTTAATTTTAAAATTAAAGGAAAATGAAGACATTTTGTTAAAAACTTCCAAAGTTTTAAATTTGCTCAATTCTGGAGATGAACTTATTCAATTATTTGAAATTGCAATTTTATGTTTCTCTAATAAAGAAAATGGAAGAGAATATATAAATAAATTAATTGACCGAATAAATATTGCAAAACAATGTAAATTTAATTAATTAATTAAAAGAGAAAAAAAAATATTTATTTTTTTGTAGGGACTAAAATTGTTGGAAAATTTCTGACAAAAGTAAACAATTTTAAAGGATGGAATAATTTTGATATTCGATTGGAACAATTCAAAATAGATCCAATTATAATTGAAGGTTGTTGTGAAGAAGAAGAAGAAAATAACGAAAATAATTAAAATCTCTTTTTAATATTTATTTTATTTTGTCGGAAATAAATTAAAAATACGAAATTTTGTTGATAATTACGAATTAGGATTTCTTCCAATTAAGACGTTTTCATATTTTGATACTTGTAGTATTATTTTAATATTTATTTTTTAAAATTTCAAACTTTTAAGACTGAAATAAAACAAAACAAGTTCAAAAAATCAATTCCCTACTTCTTTTTGGTTAGTGCCGAAAGAAGCTGATTGTGTTCTGAAAATTCTTTTACAAAAATACAGAAACCCCCAAAAATGACAGAAACAATGTGGGTAATTTACTCCAAAATCATTTTAAATAAATTTAAAAAGTGCATTCTTTAATATAAAAATTTATTTCTAAATAATTCTTAATTTAAAAAATCATTGGGAAGTCTTCGAAAATCTTTCAAAATACTTATCAAAAGTGCATATAAAGTACATATAAACATTTCAATGGAAAAGTGCATCTTTATGTAATATTTTGCACTTTTTAATTATTTTAATTAATCAAGATGATGAAAAAAATATTTTTAATTAAATCATTGTCTGAATATTTAAATATATAAATAAAGTTAAAATTTAAATAAAAAATATATTTATTTAATTAATTAATTAAAATGTTTTATTCTTTAATTATTGGAGGTATTATTTTAATTTTGTTGGCTTTTTCTGATTCAACAAAAATAAATCCAACACTTTTGTGTTATCGTAATTCTCCAAGTATGTTTATTTTTTAATAAAAAAACTCGGATATTCGTCTAACAAATAATTAATTAAAACATTTCCCTCATTCAAAAATTTATTTTTTATTTCTATCAAAAGTCATTTCTTAATTAAATTCGAAAATTAATTCTCAATTAAAAATTTAAGTGATTAGCTCTTCTTTATTTTCACCAAAAAATCCAAAAATTTCTTTTAATTTGAATAAACGTTTGGAAGAATTAAATATGGCAAATAAAAATATTTACAAAAAAGGGAAAGTTTATTCTTCCAATCCTTTTTCTAAAATAATTGAAATGACAAAAGGAAAAGATGAAATTGAAACGGAAAAGTCAACACAGGTAGGAAGGAAGGGCTATTTGGTTTCCCCTGTTCTGAAATTTAATTTTAATAATTAATTAGGAGCAAAAGGATTTGGTTAATTCTTTGACAATTGAATTAGACAAAATATTATATAAAAATTTTGAAGAAGAAGAAGAGAAAAATAATATTGAGGAAGTGAAAAACGTTGAAAATAAAAATAATAATTTGGAAGAAGAATTGCCGCCTGAAGGATTAAATTTAAATGATGTAAAGGATATTAAAATGACTACTAAATTTATGAATAAATTAAATTTCAATGAACAACAAAAAAATAAAGTTAAAAAGGAGAATATTAAGGAAGTGAAGAATGTTGGAAATAAATTGGAAGCATCACTTCCAAAAGGGTTAAAATTAAATGATTTGGAAAATATTAAAATGATTGCTAAATTTATGAATAAATTAACTCTTTCTGAACAGCGAAAAGTTAACTTTCCCAAAGCAATAGAACTTTTAGTTGCTTTACATGAAAGTGATAGAATTATTGAGAATAAAAATAAAATGTGTGATAATAAAAATTTAATTTATTTGAAAAAAGATGGAGGGCAAATAGAGGAAATTGAGGAATATTTGCGTGATATTGTTAATATTAAAAAGGCAAAATTTTTATAAATTTAAGGAAGGTGTTATTTTATTAGTCTTCCTCATTCCCTTAGCTCCTTCTACGTCTCTTCCTAAATACATAAATTTAAATATAACTTATCTGTTGTGGAGATCAGAGCGGATTAGATCACCACTATAAATATAAGGTCAAAACATTATAAACAACCAATTATTTTATGTCTGAGGGATATTTAAACTCATTTCCAACTCTGAAATTTAAACAATTATTTTTCTAATTAGGAAGACGGCAAAAAAGAACTTTTTGTAAATGCATTAAATTCTCTAGCAATAATTGAATCGGGATATCCAACAATTAAATTCTTTGAATTTTTGATAGCAGCTTTACCTCATCTTGTTACTGATGAAAAGATAATTGTGGAAAATATGAAGGAAACGTTGGAAGATGCTAAAAAATGTAATTATTATTTAATATTTAAAAATAAAATTGGATACTAAAAATGAATCCTAAATGATTCCAAAATATTTTGAGAATAATAAAAAAAGTTTATGAAAAATTCCCTTTTCTGTAACAGAAAATTGTTGAATAAATAAAGAAAAGATATTAGAAATCCTTAAATTTGTTCACACTGGAAACTTAATTATTTACCAAACATTTTAATTTTTTTTAATTTTCAGGGGTGGAGATTAGTATAGAATATATGAGTCAAAAGATGAGTGAATAAATAAAGAGATATAAGAAAATATGAGAGAAATAAAATGAAATGTTTTTTTTTCGTTAATTTGAAGTTAAATTTAAAATTATTTTTTTAATATTTTATGTAATTTATTTCACAAGGAAAATTTAAATATTCTAAACTTCTTTAAAGTATGTAATTGTCAAATTGTGTTAATTATTTAATAAAAATTAAATTTTATTTTCCGTGTTTTTGTCTTCAATATATGTAGCTTTTCTAATTAATTATTTTACAAATTCAATCTTCTGTTCCAGCTTTGGAATTTACCTAAATAATTATTTTAGAATGTTTATTAAAAGTTTATTCTTAAATAAACAATTTTGTGTAAAAATATTATGACTGTTTTTATTAGTAAGGTTTAAATTTGGGTATTTTTTTCAAAATTTATGAGGAGATTACGTTTTAAAATTGCTATAAAAGGAAATAAAAACATGAGAAAATAGAATAAAATACCCCCCAATTTGTACTTAGTAAGCAATTTTAACAAAAAGTTCTAAATTGTTTTTTATTCAAAAATACTTAAATGTGCATCTTCCATAGAATTATTCCTTTTTTCATAATAAAAATCGGTAATAGTTTGGAATTCGCCCCCCCTTTTTTTCACTGTTTCACTGACCATTGTGAGCTTTTTTGTTTGATACATAATTTATCATATATCATTCGAAAGAGCTCTTCGAGCTTGGTCGAATGATACCATGATTGGCTAGATCTGATCAATCTTACCAAAATTATCAAGCCTAATCCTAGTTTGGGCAAACTTTTTGTGTCAATGCAAGTGGATAAAATAAGCGGTCACAACTTTGTTCACTTAAATCAGATTTCGTTGTTCTTAACGTCATTCGACTCAGCTTGAAGAGCTCTTTCGAATGATATATAATTTGCCATAAAATGAAAAAAAACTTAGAAAAAGAAGAAAGGAAAAGAAGGGGGGGGGGCGAATTCCTAACTATTACCTAAAAATCAAAAAATGAGTAATCCATTGAAAAAAATGTTTGAAGATTTTTGTAAACAAAAGTGGATTAAAATGTTTAGTATAAAAAGAGGAAATTCTCTCAATTTCCAAAAATCACCAATTTTTTTTACATTCATTAAAATTAAATATACTAATTTTTAATCTAAAAATGATCTTATTTCTTTATTTAATATTAGCATCAATTTCTATTGAAGCAATAAATGAAGAGCATAATCGTGCAAAACGGTTTGAATGGCCGTGGGAAACAATTGGAAAAGAATTGTGTAAAACAGCGGCAAAATGTAGTTGTGGCAGGGCTAAATGTGTGTCATCCCCAGGATATAAAGCTAGTAATTGTTGTGGTGAAAATTATGTATGGTCCTGTTGTGGAAAGCCTGTTAATTGAAATGAGAAAGAATGAAGGGAAGAATTATTTGTAAAGGAAAATCAACCATTGATATTTTTTATATGTATCTACTAAATTTAACAAAAAACGTTTCACTTTAATATATCGCTTACTATTTGACATTTATAAATTTAAAATATTTAAAACAAAAACTACAGCTGATTTGTCTTAAAAATATCCTTTTGACCGTTTTATCTTTTGTGACATTTTGAGTTTTTGTCAGGTATGACCGAAGTGTGATTAGATTAATAGAGTTTTTACAATTTGATTTCCTATTATAAATGACATAATATCTAAAAAAATTTTGTCACGCTTTTCGTTTTTTTGGTTTGTGGATCTTAAATAAGTCCACCCTTAAATAAGTCCACTTATTGTTTGATAAGAAATTTATTGTAAAATAAGGTAAATTAGTAATTTCAATTTAATAATATATTTTTATAATTTATAAAGGAATGAGTTCAGAAATACAAGATGGGCAACAATCGTTAGTTGAAAGGGTCCAAGAAGCATACGATTCAATGGGAAGAGGTGCAAATTTCAATCGAATAATGAAAGGGGTTTTCATTTTAAAATATTTTTTATTTAAAAAATTTTAAAGATTCGTAGTTTATCTGCAAATAATGAAGGGAAATTAACTGCTGAATTTACTGTTTTAGAAGAACATGTTAATGATAAAGGAACGATTTATGGTGGATTGTTGGCTGCTTTAGTGGATGTTTTGACGGCAACTTGTGTTAAACTTGTACTTCCCGAAAGTCGAATTGTTTCTATTGAATTGGCTGTCAGGTCTGTTTATTTTTAAGAGCAGGGTGTTTTTAAATTTTCCTTTGGATCTTGGAGCAGAATATTTACTAGATTTATTAATTACTTTATTTCCGAAAATAAAACCCCACGGGGCTCTATTTTTCAACTACCTTCCAAAAGGCGGCTATGGCCTAACTAGTTTCCGTACCAGGCTCAGAATTGAACGATTTATATGTCATTCGAAAGGGCTCGACGAGCTGAGTTGAATGACACCAAAATCAGCTCGAATGGATGATTATGAACAAAGTTATGACCAACAGAATCTTCGCTGGAAAAACTGTTTTTGTGCTGCTACGAAGGGTAGGCCGGGCATGGTCTTCGCTACACGATGGCCGTGCTTCGCTGCGGTCGTGCTCGCTTCGCTCGCGGCGACCGTAGCGAAGCGGCGGCCGTCGTTCCGCTCGACATGCCCGGCTTCCTCCGCAGCGGCAAAAACTTTTTTCCGCGTAAACCTTGTGGAAGGGGTAAAAACAAACGGTCATAACTTTGTCAAATCAAGTCAGATTTCGTTGATTTTGGTGTCATTCGACTCAGCTCGACGAGCTCTTTCGAATGAGGTATAATTTGCATATTCGAATTTTTCACCCTCAAAAAAGTGCTTGGTCCCCCCTATGGTTTTTTGAACTTTAGGGGTCTGTAACTCGGCTCAGAATTTTTTCCGCTGAATAATTTTTATGTCTTTCGACTCAGCTCAACGAGCTCTTTCGAATGACATATAAATCGTCCAATTCTGAGCCTGGTACGGAAACTTTAGTTTAGCCGGCGGCTATATTTCAGGGTGGGTTTTATTTTCGGAAATAGGGTATATACCTTAATATTTTTGAACTAAAATTCTTGTACATTGTCTTTTCTGCTTTTGCTAATTTTTAATTCTAGTTATTTGTCTGCAGCAAAAATTGGTGAAAATGTTTTTATTGAAGCTAATTGTGTAAAAGCTGGAAAATCAATAGCATTTACAAATGCTTGTTTTTATCGCCGTTCAGACAATTTAATATTAATTACAGCAAAACAACAATTAGCTATTTTATCAGACAAAACAAGACAAGAAAAACCAAAAATTAATGGAATTATTGAAGAAAAGAAAAAAGATTTAAAAATTATTTGGCCTTCTCTAGCTATTGATGGTGGTGGAATTTATTTGGAAAAAATGAAGGGAATATTTGCTAGTATGAGTGAAAAAAATAATTTTTACAAAAATTTGAAAAATGTAAAATTTTAAAAATTTTGGGACTTTTTTCCCCCTATAAGAATATATAAGAAAACTTCCTTGATTAGTTGTTATTTAGGCTTTGCATATTATTTTCTTCTCTCAACCTTGTTTTTAAATTAATCTATGAAAATCGAACAAAAAGATTGTAAGAAATACAAAAAATAATAAAATATATTAGGGTGCCGATAGATAAAATAGAACTCCTTAATTGACTTCCCTTAATTTATGAGCAAATTTAGTCACCAAAATATATTTATTTTAAATTTAGATTAATGTTTTGTGTGCAGAACCTCCTTTTCTTGTAATTTCAATTATTCTTGGTGAGGAACATTTAAATAATGGAGGTAAATATATTTTTGAAAATATTTAAATAATTTAAATTTAAAGGTACATTGCATGGGGGGTTTACTGCATCAATTGCTGATTTAGGTTTTTCTTTCTCTAATTAAAAAAATTATTTAAATTTTAGTAACATCTAGAGCTGTTCAAATGACTGAATCTTGTCCTCGTGTTTCTGTTGACCTTTCTGTTAGGTTAAAAAAATTAAAAAAATAATTTCTTTTTCCAAAATTCTTTTTTTAGTTATCTTTTGCCGGCAAAAATCGGTGAAGAAATTTTGGTGGAAGGAAAATGTTTAAAAATTGGTTGGATGATGGCTTTTACAGAGGCTACTTTTATTAAAAAATGTGATGGTTCTATTGTAGCAAAAGGTCGACATAATTTGTATTTTCTTAGAAATTTACAAAATAAACAAGAAAATTTGAATGAAAAATAAAATTAAAGACGAAAAAAACATTCCTTTTTTATAATACTCAAAGACATAATAGGTGAATATATTAATAAGTGTTGTTTAAGACTAAAAAAATTCCTGTTAGACTTTTAAAATTGTGTACTAGTTATTGTTTTGTGATTTATATTTAGTTAGTATTTATTAGAAATTAAAAGAATTAAATTTAAAAAAATTTAAAAAAGCTTTTTTCTTAAAATCTTCTATTTTGTGTTGTGAATATGTAGCTTCTAATGAAGACAATATTAATGTTTTTAAATAATAAAAAGTTTTTGAATCTTTCATTGTTTATTTAATTACTGGGCTATTTTCGTGTTATTTTAGACTGGACAGAAAAAAAAATTAACAAAAAAACTTATAATAATAGGGATCGGATACAGGCCCGTAGCCAGGATTTTTTTTCGGGGGGGGGGGAAATTTTTTCCAAGGGGGGAAAATTTTTTCTGCGCCAAATTTTTGGCGCCGAAGGCGCCAAAAATTTTTATTTTCAGCGCCGCAGGCGAAAAATTTTGAGAATTTTAGAAGGCCGTAGGCCAGAAAATTCACTTTTTCGGCGCCGCAGGCGCCAAAAATTTGATTTTCAGCGCCGCAGGCGAAAATTTTTTGAATTTTGGACCTCAAGAAGCCATATTTCTTCCTTTTTTAGCGCCGCAGGCGAAAATTTTTTAAATTTCAGAGGCCGTAGGCCAAAAAAATTCACTTTTTTTGCCCCAGCCCTTCCCCAAATTTTTTCCTTTTTCCCATTTCGGGGGGGGGGGGGGGGGGGGGAATTCCCCCCCTCACCCCCCCCCTGGCTACGGGCCTGATCGGATATTTAGGTTGTAATAACTAGTGTTCGGCACGGTACGGTATACCGCGGTATTTTTCCCGGTATACCGCGGTATTTTTTTCCGGTATACCGATACCGATACCGTACCGGTCAAATTTTGAAAAAAACGGTATTTTTCGGTATCGGTATTTTTTTGGTATACCGATACCGATACCGTACCGGTCCTCGAAAAAATACCGCGGTATTTTCCGGTATTTCGGTATTTGTGAAATTCTCAAAATTTTTGCCTGCGGCGCTGAAAAAAAAAGAAATCGGTCTTCTGGTCTTCGAAAATTCTCATTATTTTCGCCTGCGGCGCTGAAAAAGGAAGAAATCTGTCTTCTGGTCTTTCAAAATTCTCAAAATTTTCGCCTGCGGCGCTGAAAAAGGATATATAGGGACATTCTATTAGAGGGGGCATTGTATTTTTCAATTATCCTTCTGGGGCATTCTATTAAAGGAGGGTATTCTAATGGTGGGGGCAAAGTAATTTTCAATCATCCTCCAGGGGACATACTATTAAAGCAGGGTATTCTAATGGAGGGGGCATTGTATTTTTCAATTAGCTAAATGTCGAGCAATTGTTGGACATTTTGCTGATTCAAATCTTGCCTATGATCGATTAGAAGAAGCTCAAGTCCTTGAGATTGTTAAGATTTATTGTTGAAATTTTAAAAATAAAATTTAAAAAATTATATAAAATTTTTTAAAAAATACCGAATACCGGCCGGTATACCGAAAATGTTGAGACGGTATTTTCCGGTATCGGTATTTTTCCGGTATACCGATACCGTACCGGTCAATTTTTGTAAAAAACGGTATTTTTCGGTATCGGTATTTTTTCGGTATACCGATACCGAATACCGGAAAAGGTCATTTGCCGAACACTAGTAATAACTAAATCTGCATTTTTCAAAATTATCACTTGAAAATAATAATCAAGAAAAATTTTTCGGAATGATAGGAAAAATTAATGATAGGAAAAACTTAATTTTTCGGATTAAGTTTTTCAAAAAATAAATTTCTTTGAGAAAATATAATAATTGTATTTTTATAAAAATATCCATAAATATAAAAAACAATTAAAATAGGCGACAATAATTTCACATCAAATTTCACCAGAAAAATAAAAATGAGAAAAAAGGAAAAACTCCAATAAAACTCCAATCCCTAATGATTAATATACTATTGGAGTTTTCCCTTTATTCTTTCTAAAACGAAACCATCATTTTTGAATAATATGTCTGACGATTCAATTAAATTTGACCTCTTAACTCAAAGGAGTGCCAAAAAAGGAAGATACATATGTATGTATGTCATAAAAATTAATCAAATCATTCCCTCGTTTCCAAAATCATTCACCAAACTTGACAATAATTAATATATAAATATTTTTACAAATATAATAAAATAACTAAAGTCCGTTCCAAGATAACTCGACACCTCCTTTATTTTTTATTAAGTTTAACAAACAGTTCAAGATATCTTGGAACACCCCATTTTTTGGAAATTTTTCATAATTTTTGATAAAATTATTGATTTACTAAAATTTTTTGCAAAACAAGGTAGTTTTTTCTCCTAAATAAATATTTAAAAAATTAAAACGACTTGTCTGAAAAATTAGAGGTGCCAAGGTATTTTGGAGCGGATTTCATATAAAACTAATCGTTAAATACTTTAAAATATAATAAATTTTTCTGACTTTTTTTAATTAGATAATACATATACATAAATATTTTAATTTCCTTATTATTAATTTTAACAATATGGAAAGAAACATTGAAGGTAAATATAATTTAAAATTTTCTTCGGATCGGGTTTCGGGAAAATTTTGCGGATTTTGGAAGGCTAGGAAGTCAAATTTCTCTCGTATGGAATAAAATTCCATGAAAAATGTTGGGTTTCGGGTTGGGTTTCGGAAATTTTATCGGGTCCGGTTTCGAGTCGTTAAGTCTGGGGTTCGGGTAACTCGTGACATTCCTGATATGTATGCATTATAGTAGGTTTATTTCTAATAGCCTCTTTGGGTGAGCTTAACTTATTGGGTGAGTTTACATATATGTATATTTGGGTGAGCTTACAAATTGTGTGCAGAAACTGATTTTAAAAAGTGAAAGACGAAATAAAAAAGCTTTAATTTTTGTTTAAATAAAATTTATTCAGTTCTTGATTTTGAAATGGTTAACTTATCAGGCGTTTTAATTGGCATACAAAGAGAAATAGAGGATGTCAAAAATCTTGTTACACTCGTTATTGTTGTTATTGCTGGTCTTGTTTTGTTGTCTGGTTCTGCACTTTTAATTATTTATTTTCAATCAATTATAAATTTTGTAATTGCAATGTATCTATGGTTGAATCTTATTGGTTTATGTATCATTTTTGTTGCAATAATTGGTTTTATCGGAATGGTTTTAATCAAAATTGTTAAAGGAATTGTTAGAGCTGTTAAAAACTTGTTTCATAAATTAATTGAATTATTAAGAGGAAGCGGTTAAAATAATTATTAACCAATGTGTAGTTAAAAAATTTTGAAGACAAGAAAATAGAAAAGTTGAGGTTACTTATTATAAGTGATTTTTTTATTTTTTATTTTACACGTTGGTTAAATCCTTGCACTAATTATCTATTCATTTTAAACAAAACTTCCTTATCTGTAAAAATTGTTAAAAATCTGTGAATAAATTTTGTGATTTTTCGAAGGGTTTATTTTTATATTAGATTGAATATATTCGATAGAAATTAAAGTCAATTTTTTTCGTTGACTAGATTTTTTAGAATTTTTGGGAGTAATTACATCAAAAATATAAATAAATAAATTCCCTGATGAGGTATCAGCGAAAATTTTGGAAATATTATTTGAATTATACGAACACTTTATTTTTAAAAAAATTAATTTATTAAATTAATTCTGTACAAATTTAATTAAATTTAACAAATAAAATTTATAAAAAATTTAAATCACAAAAATAATTAAACAGAAATCCCTGATGAGCCACTACTTGAACGGTCAATACACTTTTGTTGGTTGTGAGATACTGTGCAATTTACTTTAGGTTTTGATTTAATATTTGAAGAAATTAAAGGATTTTGTTGGGGTTGTTGTTGGTGGGCATTGTTAATTGTTTTGTTTGAATTTTTTATCTGAATTTAATGATATAAAATATAAATTATTATATTATAAAACACAAATTAATTAATTAACATTTAATCGACACCTTTATTTTGTGAGTAAAATTCTCTCCTCCTTCCTCCAAAATTGTTTCCTTCCTAAAATCTTCAACTTTTAACTTTTCTTCGTTTAAAGTATCTCTTTCTTGATTTCCAATTATTTCCCTTCTATTGCAATATTCATTTGAACTTGTACCCATTATAAAAGGTGTTGTTGAGGGTACTGCTGATAATGATTGTGAACGTGTACATTTTTGTAAAACAAATCCTTAAAAGAATTTTAAAATGGAAGTAAATATTATTAATATATTTTATAATATTTTTAGTTTTTGTTTATAATTTTAAAAATAAATTTTGCTTATTTTCATGAAAATTTCAAAATATTTCTTTGTCTAATATTTCAACTTTGTTATTGTTAAATTTAAGCTTATTTTTAAATAAAAACAAATATTTTGGATACACTAAAACTATCAAAAATTAATCCCTCCTTCTTTCTACTTTCCTCCTCTCTAATTTGCAAAATTAAACTACTATAAATATATTCCCCAACCATTTTGCCAATTTTTTGATCCATTTGAAATTCTTGATTTATTTGTGTAGTCAAGTGTATGATGTCTCATAATTGTAGAATGACCACATAAAGAAGAATGGGATTTTTGTGGAGAAGTTGTTGGCCCAAAATGACGAGAAAATGTGCAACGAAAAGGACGAGAAAAGTTATAACTTTGAAAAAAATATTTTTAATAAATTAATTTATTTATTTACTATATAACAAAGTTGAAACTTGAATTAAAAACTACAAGTCTAAAATTAAAAAAAAACTAGAATTAATTTAAAAAATATTTATTTTACAAATTAGATATATCAATTATATAATTAATTCTCCAAGACATTGAAGACGCTAAATGCTGAAAATTAAAAATAAATTTATATAATTAGTATTTAAATATTTATAGGTATATTCTTAACATTTTAGATATTTATTAGGCTGTTTTTATCCTCAGATTTGTCTTTTTCAAATATCAAACTTTAATTTTTGTCTCATTAAGAAGGGCCAGACAAACAAAATTAATAGTTAGTCCTATCATTTATTTATGTGTATTAATACTAAAGATCGGACTGGAAGTGTCGACAAGAATCGAGATCTCGTCTCGGTCTCTAATTAATACATAAATAAATCCCTATTAATTATTTTTATTTATTTAAAAATTTAAAATTAACTGTTTCAAAAATATTAATTAACAAAGCAACAGTATTACATAAAATAAAAAGCAAAACAACAAGTATCTAAAATATTTTCTTTTAATTATTTAATAAGAATTTAATTACTAACTAAAGCCAAATTATCAGCAGAATTTCCCTTTTTACAAAAAACAGTAGCAATAATAACAATAATATTCAAAACAATTAAAACTATTAATGGGCCAACAGCCAAAAAGATTGCATACATATATTTGTAATAAATGAGCATATAACTTGAAAAAATATAAATTGTAAGAATTATTTAAATATTAATTTTTAGATTTTCTTCCATTTTAAAACATATCTTTAAACTTTACTCTTAGCATTCGGGAAATTTCTTTCAGATTTTCTTTTCCTAAATCATTGGAAATTTCGTTGGGAATTTTTAACTTTTCCAAAAATAAATTTAAATATAATTTTTTATTTACGTGGGATGGAATCGTAAAGGTGCTGGACATACTTCAACGGATTGACTTTGAAAATTTGGATGCCAACAATCCAAAAGTATCGATTCAAAACAATGTCTATAAATAATTTTTAATTAAAAAAATAATTTTAATAGAATTTACGGAATATTATAAATAAAGGCAAATGCAAGAATTCCACTAGCCAAACATTTTGTAAATAATTGACTTGAAAATAATCTTTTTATTTTTGATGGCATACAAACCTTTAATTAAAAAATATTAAAAAATTGTCAAAAATTTATTGGCATGGGATAGTTGGGGGTTAAGGAGGTTTATTTAAGAGGCTTGGTAAAAATTCAAAATATTTGCCAGTTATAAGGGAAATTTTATGAAAATATTTGGATTAAAGGCAAAGAGATGGTTGAGAGTATGTATCAGTGGATAATTCATGATGTATCCCTCCCTACCAACAATAATTAAAAATTAATTTACTTGAACAAAACAATCAACAGCAGCAACAATTGTAAAATAAACAGAACAAGTTTGTGCAATCATCCCAGCTGGATATACAACAGGGGAAAGAGTTCCATATAAAATTGAGAGATTTAATGAATACCGTCTAATTGAGTCAATAAAGAAAAGAAAAAGAGCAGTCAATATCACCTTATTTTTTTAATTTTTTGAATAAATTTTTTTAAATTATTAATTACAGCTGTGTCTGAGCATCCTAAAGCAGATAAATAAATACTTCCAGTGTAGGAATGACGTAGAGCAGGCTTAAAGAAAATTTTGATGAATTATTACAGAAAATAAAAATTTTATTTGATAGTGGAGGGAATTTGATTTTTTAGTTAATTAATAAAATATTCAAATTAAATTGAACGAGGACAATAGAAAATATATGTAGCTTAATAAATTCTATGGATATTTTGGCCAATTAAATAAAATAATAATAATAACCGATAGTGGAGTATTAAGGTTAAGAAATTAAAATAGAGGGGGAAGGGGAGGACTAGGAGTTTTAAATAAGTTACCTCCACCTTTTACCAAATTTATAACTAAAAATCAAAAAAAAATTGTTAAAAAAACAAACTCTGCTATAAATAAAAGCGGAGAGTATATTGCCGCAAAGGCCGCATAAACTAATAAATGGTAAAAGAAACCCAATAACTACCAAATTATACTGAAATTTAAAAATTATTTTTTATATTAAAAAATATATTTTTACAATTTGGTAGGCATGATCTGAAGCAAATTGTGTACAAAGTCCACAATTGGGTAAACAATGAGTAAAATTGGGCCAATTAATTATTCCATGCCGAAATAAATAACGGACCTTGAAAAATATTTAAAAAAAATTTTTACAAAAAATTTCCAAACATTTGCAGCATTTTTATATGAAGAACTTCCAATAGGATAACTACATTCATTTGGAAGTATTGTTGCCTGTAATTCAAAAGTTCCATCCCCATACTCCTCCATATAATCCAAATTTTGATTCATTTTATTATTAACATAATTTAAAATAATAAATAAAATAAATTTAAAATTAAACTAAAAAAAGGAAGATTTTAAATTAAAATTTCAGATAATTAATTAGTTGGATCCAATAAATAATAAATAAAACAAATAATTGAATAATTAAAACAAGGAAAAAAGGATTTTTAATTTAACCCTTAATTGTTAGGGAAATATATACCGTATTTTCTCAATTAGTAATGCCGGAGGGATGAAAAATAATAGTGCCGTACTATTTAAGAAAATACGGTCTAAAAATAAATTATTTAATTTATAAAACAAAATGAAGTAAATTTATTAAAATAAAAAGAAATTCCTAAAAGTTGCTAAAAATAAATTTATTTTTTAGTCTTTTAATATATTTATCTTAAATTTCTAACTGAAGTTTGTTAATGGATTTCCTTTTAGATTATTTTATTGTTCATTAAAAGTTAAATTTACTAAAATATTATATTAAATATCTGCTAAAAATTAATTCTTTAGTCTTTTTAATTTATTTAAATATTTACAAAAAAGTATTCCCAATTTATTTCTTATTTTTAGGATTTTCCATAAAATTTTCTTTAAAGGAAAGTTTGCTAATAAAAATTTTAAAATTAAAATTTTTATTTTTGTAAATTTAACATAAAATAAGAGAATTACTAGACAGAAATTAAATTTTAAAAAATTAAATATTCATTTAAGTTAAAAATTTGTAGCAAAATCATATACTAGAGAACACCAACATACCTACATTTATTGTTCTTTTTTTCTTTACAGTTTTTTCATTGTTCTATGCCTCATGCATCACTTTTCTTCCCCCCTTAGGGACACAAAAAGGGATGTCCTGTGAAGTGGAAGAAAATGAAGAAAAAAGAACGTAAAAAAGAAAGAAGGGAATATTCAAATAAATAAAAATATTTTTTTTAAGTTAAAAAACTTTTTAAAGCAATTGCCACTTCCTTCCCTTTCTCCGTCCCCCCTCCATTCCTCTCCCTCCACATGGCCTTCCCTTTCCAAAATAATTTCATCTGTCTCAATTTTGACATTTTGTTCTTTGTCACGAACATATGTATGGAGACAAAAAAGAAGATAATATAAAAAATGATTTTTGAGGTTTATTTTTAAAATAATTGAAAAGATTTGTTTAGTTAAGGAAATGATTGATTTTATTTTTTATTTATTTAATATTTATATTTAATTAATTTTTTAAATAATATTTAGGAAGATTTTAAATAATATAGAAAATATAATAAATTGAATTAGAATTTAAAAATCAGTATGAGAGACTTTTGAAATATTTAGCATCCCCGATTTAATAAACCTCTTGAAACTTCTCATTGATTTTGTCAATTCAAATTCGTTATATCAAGATTTAACTAAATAAAAATTTGTTAGAGAGTATATTCAAAATATAGATAAAATTTATATGAAAATATTTAAGCCTGAAAATAATTTGTTAATCTAAAATGAGGAAATGAGAGCTTTCTTAACTTTATAAAAAATAATTTAGTAATCATTTTTAGTAAATCAAAAAGTTATTTTTAAAGATATATATTTAGCAAAAGAATATAAAAAGAAAAATAGTAGGTATATATAAAAATCTAATCATTCAATCAATCATTGTCAAAAGAATTTTAATTATTTTTGTTTCTATTTTTATAATTGTATAACTAAATAAATTTAAACAGAATTCTTAAAAATTTTATTTATTTTTTTAATTAATGGGGGGGGGATGGAGGGTTCTTTTTATTCATTAATTTGAAAAAAAGGTGTTATTTTAAAATTAAGGGAAAATAAAAAGTCAACTAAAATTAATTAGAATAAATATATAGAAAGGCTGTAAATAAAAGATAAAAATAGAAGAGAAGCTTAGGCAAACAATTTATTTAAAAAAACATTTTTTAATTTCCCTTTAATGCTTTTAAGTTTTTACAAATTTTTAATTCGAGATAAGGAAAAAATTTAAAAAATCAACAATTGAAAGTGAAAAAGAAAATAAGGAAAATTGAGAATTTAAAATAAATAAAAATAAATTTGTTAGGCAAAATATTTAAATAAATTATGAGTAAAAAAGAGAGAAGGAGAAGATGGTAATCAGATGTAATTTTTAAAATTTGTGATAATACTTTTTTATTTTAAAGTTTTACTTTTTTACTAAATAAAATATTATATTTTTTTCTCGATTTTGTAAACTGACACAAGAATTATGAAACGATTTACAATAAATATTATAACCGAAATATTTATATTAATTTATTTTTAAATGTTTTATTCCTCAAATTATTTTTAATTTCGAAAAATTGCAAAATTAGTTAATTAAAATGAATGACATCACAAAAATTTAAATATATTTCGATAAGTATTTTAGGAAAAAAAAGAAAAAAATATTTGTTGACAACAGAAGGCAAATAACCAAAAATTTCATCTTTTCTGCTATATTTAGCAACAACAAAAAATTGTAGTTTATTTTATTTAAATTTTTATTTAGAAATAAAAAATTATTGGAGTAAATATTTTAAATTAAAAATTACAGAAAAGTTATAAAAGAATTAAAAAAAGGAATTTGAGTTTACATTTTGAGAAATTTTAGATTTTTTTTCATTTTATTGTTTAAATTACATAGTTGAAAATAAAATTTATCCGAAAAAGGGGTAATTCTTTTTAATAAAAAATAATTATTATTAAATCAGTTTTCTAAAATCTGAAATTTCTATTTACAAATTTACAAATTAAAAGTTAATCAAAGTTTCTATAAGCAAAAATCATAAAAAACTAAATAAAAATCCTGCAAAATAAATAAAAATATAAGGAAATAAAATTTAAATAAAAAATTTTCTTCTCTCAATCCCTTCAATCATTGCCGTAAATAAAATAATATAAAAAATAAAATTTTATTTTTGCCACGGTTTAGGGCACAAAAGAAAAATGCAATTGTTCCACAAGGATATATATAAATATATATTGCTTTTAGAATTTAACACAAAAAATTTTTTTGTTTAGAAATTGATGGCCACCGATGTGCGACAATTTTTATTTTATTTAATTTCTTTTTCAGAAGAGAAATGACATTAATGAATTTGTTTGATATAAAAAAGAAAATTTGTGTACATACATACTTATTTTAGTTGAAATAACCTTAAAAAAAATAAATATATAAGGCTTTATCCTTTTAATTAAAGAAAAAATGAAAATTTAATTTAAAAAAATATATACATGTATTTATTTTTATAAAATATTTTTTAACAGAAAATGTTAAAACCATCAAAATACAAAAAATAAATAAATAATTATTATTTTACAAATTTTTAAAAAGGAATAACTTGGAAATAAAAAAAAAGTATTAAGATAAGTATGTACATATGGAGCTAACACAAAAAAGGGAGAATAGGTTGGTAGTAATTTGTCGAGTGATTGATTCAAAATCTGTTTTATTAAAAATATTTGTGGGCTTTGTTATGGATTAGTGTTTTTTGAATTAATAAATAAATCTGATAAAATTTTAGCATCAAATAAATAATTATCAAAGTTAGTAATTCATATACCTAAATCATTCTTCCATCATTCGCTTATTTAGAAAGATTAATCAATTTTTAGTAAATTGTTAAAATTTAGGTTTCTTTGAACGAAGCCAATATAAAATTTTAATAAAACAAAAAATAATTCCCCTCATATTTAAATAAAGTGTAACAAAATAGCTTTTTAATATTTTTTAGATGTACATATAAATGTGGCATTCAAAAAAGTTAAAAACGGTCCAAAAATTCTCCGGTTTTAAAAAAACAAATATTCGTCGTAACCTTAAATTTATGTTAAAAAGAGAAAGTCCAAGTCTAAAAATTATGTAAAAATGTAAATAACATACAGCTGAAAGGAAGAAAATATTTTTCTGTTTCCTAAAACTTTTTTGGTCATTACTAATTTTATGTTTAAAAGTTTTTTTCCAATTCTAAAAATTCTGGTATTGCCTTAAAAGAAAATAAATTCTTAGTTTAAAGGAAGCAAATACTACGTAGGGAAAAATTTGAATTTTAAATAACAGTCAGTAATTTTAATATTTATTTTTCGGGACAAACTACTTTAACCTGCAAAAAGATATTTTTAGAATTTTAGAAGACTAAGAAGCCAGATTTTCTTTTTTATCACCACAGGCGAAAGTTTCTGGAAGGTCAAAATAAATTTTTTCAAAGATAAATTACTTCCATTAGGAGTGTGAATCGTGAAAGAGGACAAAAATGCGGCAGAAAAAGATTGCAAAATTATAGTTTTGGACATAGCAAACACAAATTCAGAAAAAATATTGAAACAAAAATTGGCTCATTTTATCCATTTAAATATACATACATACAATAATATACAATATACATACAATATGAATTAATATCAATACATTATGAACAAACAGACTATCACATATACAATGTACAACTATCACACAATTTCCGAGGGCATCTTTCTTTTCGCTTATTTCTTCCCACCAGCACCTGCCAAACGAACTGCCACGGCTGCTGCCACTGCTGCTCCGCGCCCACTCCCGTCCTCCGAGAGGACTAGTTTGAACTAAAAAATATTAAATAAAGCTCTAGTTTTTAAGGTGATTTTCTCACCTCATATTTTCCACCTGTCAGTGCCTCAATCTTTGTTGACAACAAGTCCTTGAATGTCGGGTGAGCCTTGTATAAGCTGCCATCCACGCCAATCGCGACTCGCTTCCGATTAATTCTTTGGAGAATGGTGGCCATCGCCACTGCGCAGAGATTGGACGACCTTGAGCTGATCATGGAGCAAACGTAGGCCACAACAGCACAGTCAGTTGACGACGGGGAAGCAATACCTGTGAAATATGAAAACGATGAATTTACCCACCCCAAAAATGTATGTCCACGAACCATTATCTGACAAGAGCAGGCCAATCTTATGCAGCGGCTTTTCAGACTCGAGCACATACCTAAAGTTAAAAAATTTGCTCAACCAACACTTTTAAAAATGGTAAAATCACCTCTCTACTTCTGACAGGATCCGAGTTGAGAACGATCCTTGTTTTCCGATGGCACTGCTGGTGACCGCTGACCCAGAAAAGAGAAGTCCTGCTTCTGCCAACTCGACCAACACAAGACGCACAAGCTCGCCCTTAAAGAAAATTTAAACCCTTATTGGAGAAATAGAAATCTGACCAAGTACATCCCGGAGATCATCTTCTCGAATGTTTGTTTGCGCGGATTTATGGAGTTGGCATCTAGCTTCCTGTCGTGCACCGTCCTGTACTTGTCGATCTTCCCGTCATCACCGAAGGCACCGAGCTCACAGTTTATGCACATTTCTTCAGGAAGTCCATCTAAAAACGAGAGAAAAATAGTTTTCACCCACGCAATCACCGCCGACCATTTACGCTGACCAAACCATTGAGTTTGCTGATGTTCTCCAAGCGTTCCATATAACAAGCGTTGCTCCCAGTCCCAACAATGAGCCCAATGGAGCAGTCAGGATCGAAGAATGAGCATGCCAACATTGTTCCAACGGTGTCGTTGACGAGCGCCACGACATTGACCGCGATGTTCTTCCGCCGACACGCATCCGTGAGCAATTGAACGACGTCTTTGCCGACAACGCCTGAGGCCTGAAAAGAAAAAGAATTTTTGATTTTATAACTGAAAGTATATTGAGAAAGGCTCACACTGAATCCTTTGGTCCATGCGACGAGTGATGCCGATGCCAATCCTTTTTGCTGGCAAGGAAACGAGAAGGTAAATCCAAGCGGGCGCGTCTTGTTGCAGGAAAGCCTTTGCTCTACCATGAAGTTGTGAAGGCAGTTAGCGACATGGTCAAAGAGATGTTCTCCAGTTCCTTGCTGCAGCTCCTGTGGCACCGCATAGGTCACATGCCTCATTTCTCCCTTCTTCCCGTCGCCGTGCAGGGTGATCAACAGTACTCTGAAGTTGCTTCCGCCCAAGTCTAGTGCCAAGAACTCCCCACTCTCCTTGCCCACAGAAGTTGCGCGAATGAACGATGGGAGCATTTTAACCACTGCAGTCTCTTCTGAAAATCGAAAAATCGCCTTATTTACTCTTCTGAAAATCGAAAAATCAAAGCAATCAACGTACCCTTTTGAAGCCCTTCTGCAAAGCTCTGCTCCAGGTGCTGCATGATCTCCCTGAGCTGTTCGTCGTTCAGTTTGATGTAGCTGCAGTGCTCTAGGACCTAAATGGTAGAAGAAAACATGAATGCTCTGAGATGCTATTAGCATTTAAACCGACCTTGTTGAAATGTGCGATGTCGAACTCCTCTTTAGCTGCAAGTGCCGTGATGCTGCTCAACATGTTGACGTCCGAGGCCTGGCGCGATATCATTGCTGAAGGAGTGAAGCGAAGTACTGAGCGTCGACGTAGATGACTGTAGATGATGAGTGTAGTTGAACTTGGGTATGGGAATTTTATATTAAGCTGCTTTTATAGTTTATTTCTGACTCTGGCCGTTATGTTAATTGCCTTAGTATATAAGCTGTTAGATTAGTGTTAATATAAAAGCCATTGCTACCCGCATCAATTGGGGCATACTAGCTTCTACTAGTCCCTGATCCACTTCGTCCTTCGCAGCTCTCCGTCTTTATATTTTTATTTAATTAAATCGTCAGTCTTGTCATGATACAATATTGGTCTCGTGTATAGGTCGCATCTATTTTATATTTATTTTTTTTCCATAGATTCAATTCTTCTCGCGCAGGTTGGAGTAGATTCGAATGATGAAGAAAATTTTAGAATTGAAATTTTGAAATTGCAAAATTTTGGAATGTATCGCAGATTTACTCGGAATTACGCAGTTTTAATCCGCAAATGGGCATTTGTTTAGAAAAATTTAATTGCGGATTCCAGAATTAAGAAATATTACAGTTTTAAATTTTTTTAATTTCGTATCATTGTGCATTGCGGTCCATTTCTTAAGATCCAAGTTCTGAATAGGCAAAGGAAACTAATGAGTTTTTAGCCCTATTCAGCCCATCTTATTAGTCTATTTTCTAATGCTTACTTACATATGTATGATATATGAAATTTAAAGAATTTCAATTTAAAATTAGTAAATATTTTATGTTTAATTTTTTTCTAAATTAGTATGTAAATGCTATTATTGCCCCTTCAAATAATCCTTTATCCAATACAATAAATATAGTAATCATTAGAGCCCGGATTTTTATGCAAATGCATATTTTTTTTGCAAACTTTTCATGATGTGTAATGCACAAAAAACACTGTTTCCGCAAGTTTTGAAAACTTTAGAGGGGGTTTCTATTTGCATATAATGCATATTTTTGCATATTCCGGACTTTGTTGCATAATGCATATTTTACTGCATATTTTGAGGTTTTTTGGGAAAATATTTCGAAAATTGCCTAAAATCCTGCCAAAAAGTGAAAATTTAGTAAAAATTTAGGAAAAAATTTGTAAAAATTACAAATTTTGTAAAAAAATTTTTGTGTTTATTGGTTTCGCCAGAAAATGGCCCACCCCCATAATGTCTCAGCCCCAAAACGTCGCACCCCAAGATGTCCCACCACCAAAATGCCTCATCTCAAAATGCCCAACACCGTAAAAATGCTCAATTTGTCGAACTATACATTTAAAATAGAAGAAATCTTAATAAAAAATGTATTTTAAATCATTTTGACTAAAAATATGTAAAATTTTTAGGTATAAATGGTATTTTTCATGCATATATGCGTGTATATTTTGGTTTACTTGCATATTTTTGTGCATATTTTGGCAATTTTTTATGCATATTATAGTGCATATTTTGCATTTTTTAATGCATAAAAATCCGGGCTCTAGTAATCATCTATTAGACCTTTTCAATGTAATAATTTTTTATCAAAAATAAAAAAAAACAATTTATTCGAGAGTTTATAAAAATGTAAAAAACATTCCGTTATTCGATAATTTACAATTAAATTTTTTTAATTTGCACATAAAAAATTGATCCATCTCTCCTTTCTTCATTGGAAAATAAAAATCTCACTTTTGGATTGTTAATATTGCTAATTTGATAGTCAGTAGTTTTAAAAGTTTTTAAATGTCCAATTTCAATTTTTTCTGCCCTCTCGTTCAATTTAAAATCCGAGAATAAAATTTTATCAAAAATAATAACAGGCACAATTTTTGAACAATTTTGAGAGTTTATTATGTGCTAAAATTCGAATTTATTTTTAATTTATATCTGTAAACAAGTAACTTACATCAACAATAAGATCATGAAGTTTTGCTAATTTAAATCGTTTTAAATAAATTTTGGGTAATTTATTGCCTTCATTTATTAAAATATTAAACAAAATATTTATATGTATTTTCCTCTGGAATGTCCATGTGATTGAAATCAACACTAACAAATTCAAAAATCTTTAAATGATTCAAAACGAATCTAAAAATATTTTCAAATAAATTATTGCTAGTTGATAGAGAGGGTTTTTGAATGTGAAATTGTGGAGAAATTGTTTGGTTGTTATCAAATAATAAATTAATTATTTCTGGATTAAACACAATTTTATTAAAATAGGCATATTCAAAGGCACAATTAAAAAGTTGTTCCAAACAATTTCGGGTAATAATCATTTCTTCCATATTTTTGGGAATGTTGGGCAATTTCAAAAGATAATAACGAGGTTTTTTATCATTTGCATAGAAAAATGTTCTCTCCAAACAAACAATAAATTCTTTGTTAGGTTCAAAATCATGTAAAAACAATGAAATTGATTTAGATATAGCTGCTTGCCACTAAAAAATAATTTTAATTAAATTAAGAATTAATTAATTTAACCTTTTTATTAAGTTGATCATCCAAAATAAATTCAAGAATTCCAGATCCAGGTTCAATAATTTTATACCAATTCGACGGATAAATTTTACTTTACGAGGGTAAAACCAAATGAAATTATTAGTATAGCTCGAGAGCAGCGCCTGCATTTGAAATCATTTTACGCACCAGCAAACCTCAAGTCGCAGCGCATTTATAAAACGCCAGCCCCAAATTCTAGTGGAAAAATGACGCATAAATTGCTATGGGACGCAGGTTTTGTATTAAAGTCAAAAATAATAATCTTTCTGAAAAATAGTCTTATAATCAAAGTTTTACTTTCAATCCATAGACAATTTAAAATTCTTAAATTAATTTTCAAATCCACAGCCGCATTTGTAAATACAAAAACTACTCAATTTACACAATTAGTATAATGTTCGGTATTCGGATGAGTTGACTTTCTAATTGTCAATAGTTTGTATCTAGGAAATACATTGATACCAGCAATATAATCTTGTGTCTATCGCTTTTTGCGAGGAGAAAAAATGCAGCTCAACGAGCTTTTTCGAATGAGCTATAAAAGAGCTCGTCTGGTTTTATCCCACAAAGTAAATTTTACCGATTTAACTCTCGATTGATAATATTGGCATCAATCTGAAATAAATCAAAAATAAAATTAAATAAATATTTACCAATGAAAGTTTGTTGAATTTCATACGAGCCAATTCTGCCGCATATTTATTAATTAAATTTCGATAATAATAATTTGTTTGTTTAAAAGTGAATAATTGAGTGAAATTAAGGAATTTAAATATATCAAGTTTTGTTTCAATTGGTAATGAATTCATTTAGTTCTTTTAGTTAGCTAACAATTAAATTAAAAAAACTAAAAATTTATTCAATTAAATTACCTATTTAAAATCAAAAAAATAAATATGTATCATTCTTAAAAATAAAATAAATTATCATTCTTAAAAATAATGTCACCCAATCCATATGTTAATAATAAAATGAAAATAATTGGGGAATATTAAAACTTATTTTGCTCCTGCTTGTGTGCCTATTTTCTTTTTTTCTTTTCATTCAGAAATATGAATGTACTAAATTTAGAAATAGGAAAAAGTACATATTACCTACATGTATTAGTGGGGACTATCCAGAATTTATATAAATTCTTGCTCTCATACAAGGAGGGTTTCTAAATTGCCCATTCCAATTAAAATTAGAAGACAAAATAAATAATATTCTAACTATTTTTAATCAACAAAACTAATCAAAAATATTATTAACCTTTCAATTATTTCCATTATCTGAATGTAAAGGTTAGATTCTCAATATCTTCCAATAATAACTCAATAATCATTTTCAGCAGTATTCGTAGTATAATCATACTATAATCATATCTACTCTGTTTAATGGAGCCATAAGTAAAATATTAAATTATAGGTTAACCTCTGGAATTGTCCTTTAATTCCCATAATTGGTCTATTCCATCTTTGGTCTATTCCAATTAGAACTTATTTTTCCAATATTTATTTTTGTATTTCCAACGTTATTAATTTTAGGAAAAAAGAATATATGTATAGGTAAAAATATTAATTTAATCCCTTAACAATTAATTTATATATCTACCTAAATGCCACACACAAAGGGAAGGAAGTGAGGACTTTTATTGGCATAATGAAGAGAGAGAATAATCAAAAATATAAAAAATATTTATTATTAATTTGCAATGGTTGACTTGTTTAACAAAAAAATTTAATATATTTTGATGACGGAAAATGAAAATGTTAAAAGGATTAGAAGCTAAAACAAAATATCATTCATGTGAAAATGACAAACTTATTCTTTAAAATGAGTATTTTTAAAGGATTTTTTTAAATTTAAAAATAATAAAAATATTTGTTAATTTTTAGTCATAATTTTAGCATCTGCAGAATTTCCCTGAAATTTCCCTCAAATATTTCTCTAAAATAAATATTTCTGTAAGATATATAGTAGATACCTAAATAATTTATTTTTAAAATTATTTATATTTTAGCTTATTTATTTTGCAGAAATTTATTTTTGAATAATGAGCTATTCTGATGATGAAAGAATTGCGTTGAATAATAATAAGGTAGTTTTAAAATAATTTAAATATTGTATCGAAATCAGAGCTCTACGAAAATAGAATTTTGCTATCAACGAAACCAAAACGAAAAAAATAAATTCCATTTTTAAAAACTGTTACCCGAAAATTTTTGTGCAGCTCTGATTGAAATGTACTTTTAGGCGTGGATTTTAAAATAGATAAATAAAAAAATTTATAAAAAGGAAAGTATTTCCCTAAAGGCCCATATATAAATCATTTAATAAAAACAAGAAAAATTGTTTTGCGTAGAGTATTTTTCGTTTATTTAATAATTTTTTTAAATCCAAGGAAATTTTCAAGCCTCATATATACTTTAGATAAATCTTTCTTTGATTACCTTCCAAAACAGCCCAATCTATCATTATTTAATTTTTAAAAATTAAATAACATTCATTATTTATTGACCGGGAATTGTTTTTATTGCCCCCTTTCTCTTATATTTTCTAAAATTTTTAGTAAAAAAATTATTTTTTAAAGTACAATTAAATATTTAAAATTTGTCTTAATTCATTAGTCTTTTTTAACATAAAAGTAGACATGCCCCCTCTATTCTTTAACATTTTTATAAAACAAAATTTTAATTGTTTTCTTTCTTTATATTTTTTTTATTTCGTGTATTTAGTTGTTTACATATTTTATTCTCTAAACAGATGTTTTTTAATTTTTTTTTCATTTTTTTGATAAAATAATTAAATGCCAATCAAGCCTTATTTGTTAATTTTATGAATTTTCACCTGGAAATAAATGAATAATTTGTTTAAAAAATGTTTTGCGTAGAGATATTTTTCGTTTATTTAATATTTAAATTTTATTTTGCAGAAAATAAATACATTAGATATTTGTGCTCATAATTTACATATAAAACGGCTAACAGAGTATGGGTTAGATATTTATTTACTTTATAAATCAGAATCTTGTATTTAGTTGATTAAAATATTTTAATAAAATAATTCTAAAGATGTTAAAATTTTCGGGTTAAAAATCATATACTAGTCTACATAGTTTCATTATATGGCAAAAAATTTAATAATAAAGTTAAGTGACAGCAAGTTGGAAAAATAGTTAAGTCCGATTTTATTAATTTTTTAAACCCAAGGAAATTTTAATTCTTATCGAAACTATAATTAATATTTTCAAAAATATTCTCATGAGATTAAAATAATGTTAAATAAAAAGCAACAAATTTTTAATTAAAATTATCTTTTGACTATTTTCCTTCCGAGTTTATTAAATATACATATTTCAAAAATTCTTCTAACGATTTAAGACTAAATATTTTTTTTCCAAGTCTTTTAAATATTTAATTAAATTTTTTATTTTTTAAATTTAATTTTTCAATTAATTATAATATGTATAAAGTCAAATAATTATATTCCAAATTAACTCAATTAATTATCTACATATTTAAAGTACTTAGAATATTATATAATTTTTATTTCGACTTTTTCTTTCCTAGTAATTTATTTAAAACAAATTTCTGACGAATGTTGCTATATTTAATTAAATTTATTCTCTTTTTCCTTTTTTTCTAATCCAATTAGCAATTTCTCTTGGGAGAGAGTCAAATTTTTGTGAAGAGATAAAGAGGAGAGAATTTATTTTGCCGAATTTTATAAAATAATAAAATTATTATTCGAGCAAAACAGAAATTTATTTTTTGTTTTTTCAAAAAATAACAAATATTTTTATTTTTTATTAGCTCTTTTATTTTAATGTAAGGTAATTTAATAAATATATATTTTTTAAAATAAAGAAAACTTCAAAATTCTCCTAATTAAGAATGCAACATTTTTTAAAAGTATTTGTTTATATCTATGTAGTTTATTATCCAATTTCAGTTCTCGGATATATTTATGTTTTTATATAATAAATCAAACAACAGATTTTTATTTTAGTTTGCTTATATTAATAAGTTGGGGCTACACCTTATTTTTAATTATAAAAAAAGGATAGGAATAAAACAAGAATGACTAAGAGATCTCCCCATTTTTGTTATCTATGTAGTTTAAATTAAATCAGAAAAAATCTACAATGTTTCATTTAAGCATTTTAAATTTTTATTTAAATATTTTATGTTTTAAAAGTCTCTCTCTTTCTCATTCTCAAATTTCGCGACATTTTTCACTCAACAAACATTTCTCCTTTTTTCTGAATTTTAAATGTTTAATTATAAAATTTAAAATAACAATGCTTTTTTGAATGCCAACTTTTATCTACAAAATAAATAAAAACATTTTTACTCCCACATAGAATATTTTATTTAAAATCTATATTTATTTATTTGTTCAATGTCAATAATTGTTGCATTTTCCCTTTGTGTGTACTTTAAATAAAAAGCAAATTAAATTTTATCTATAAAAATTGCTTTTGACTTTAAATGCATTTAAATAAAATTTTGTTTTTTTTAACAATAAACATAACCTTTATTTTAATTGAATTTAAGGATAAAAAATTTAAATATTAATTTTGAAAAAATATTTTGGGGAAGATAAAATATTTTTTATCAAACTTTTTGAGTTTTCATTTTCTAGTAATATTAATACTAAGATCTTTAAAAGGTATATTATTAGTCTTTCAATAATTAAATTTCAATTTAAAAATTATCTAAATTTAACACTCGATATAGTATTGAGCTTTTAGATGCGTCAAGGTTTTCTTCGCCCCTTCAAGTTTGTCGAGAACTGACTGAAATTTTATTAATTACGATAATGAATTTTAATTTTCCTATTAAATTTAAAATTTAAAATTATGAGATAATTTCTGTATATTCTATATTCAACTTCATCCCAAAATTATATCTATCCTCCCGTTTACTAAATAATTTTCATTTTTTAAATTGTTTTTTTTCTCAATTTTCTATAATTTAACTAATTAAATAAATAAACATTTTTCACGAGATATTTATTTAAATTAATTTAAATTTAGCAAAAAAGATTTAAATAAATTTTAGAAAAATTATTTGTCTTTTAAAAATTCTTTGTTGTACAAAAGAATTAAAAATTGTTTTTTTGCATTTAAAATTAAGATTAAACTTCAAAATACTTTTCTCCAAAATTTCATATCTTTTACCCATTTAAAATGAATAGAAAAAAATTAAAGAAAATGCAATCTTTGGTTACATTGTTGCCTTTTCTTAAATGCAAATTAATTAATTATTTATAGAAAAAAAGTTTTTATTTAAATATTTTTGAAAGAATCATTTTTATTTTAAAGAAATTTAAGAAAATTTCAAATAAAAATTATTATTTTGTTAAAAACTTTTTCGTTTTTAAAATTTTTCATTAATTTTATAACTCGAATTAAATAGTATACATAAATCTTTCTTTTTGGAAAATGATTTTATTATTTTTATTCTCTGTGTGTTAATTAAGAAAAGAAAATCAGCATTTAATGAATATTTTTAAAATTCAGCTATCTTTTTTCTTTTATTAACACGAGGCTGGATCCAGGTTTTCTAGCTTAAACTCAGACTTGATATTCTTACATAGCTACCTACAACACTTAAATTCGTAAATCCAGAAAACGAGATTTTATCAAAATACCCGCTTTCTTCACAAGGCCTAAGAAATCCCATCTTTTGTCCTCGTTCAAAACAATTTCAAAATCTCATTCTTAATCAATCAAAATTTAGTATATTTTAAATTTAAAAATTAAAATAAATTTTGTTTTAAAATAAATTATTAATTAGGTATATTTCTTTTTAAGACGGTTCTTCTTTTAATTTTTGACTTTTAGTTTCATATAAAAATAATTGCAGAATTATATTTAAAAATAAATAAATATATCATATTTTCATTTGTTTCAATTTTAAATCTCTTCAACTAAATAAAAATAAATACTCTACTATGTATATAAATATATTTTCTAAAAATAACTTTTCTTTTTTTTCCTTTCTTTATTCCGGTTTTGTTTTCTTTCCTTTTTTGATTCCTCGATATCCTTCCAGTTAAACTAATCTAACTCTCAGATGTAATTTGTCCAAACTCACGATATATTCCTTTATTCATCAAATACACGATACCCTCTTAATCATACCAAATCCTGGATATCCCTCTTAATTACCAAATCTTTCTCATTATTTCTCGTAATCCTTCCAATAACTCCCCTTTTTTGCCTCTTAATCCCTTAGTCTCCAATGATTATGTTTCATAGGCTTTCACTCATTTTTCTTATTTTTGTGTTGCGTATCACTCTAATCCTCGGAAGCCTTCTTAATTATCCTAATCCCCGTTATCTTTATTATCCTTTGATAATAATCTTTTCCCAATATCGCCAAAATCATATCTTAATCCGCATCCCTCAATATCAATATTAAGCCCACAAAACTATTGATATTCTCCAATCACACATCAAAGTCACTTATAATCACTAATAGCTGTTCTTGTATTTCCTAAATACATATTAATATACCCCAAATACTCAAAATCCCGTATAGCTCCCCATTATCCGTCTTAATGTTCGAAATCCCCAAAATCCCTTCATTAAATCCGCATTTATCATGTTTGTAACTAAAAAATCCCCTATATATCCCACTTTATATCTCAAATCCTCCATATCTTCACAGAACTTATGTTTTTAATATAAATCCCCCGTTATCAATTCTAAGTACCAATATTCTCTTTAACACCCTCGTAAGTTCCCAAAATAGTCTGAATCTCTATTAACTCTTCTTTATTTCTCACTCTTCTTTCTTCCAAACTCTGTTATCCCTATTAATCCTCAAAATCCGCCATACATTTGCTCAAGTCACAATATTCCCTTAATTTCCCACAAACCACGATATCCCCTTTATCACCCACTCTTACCATCTTAATACGCAAATCACCGATATTCTTTACAATCCTCAAACCCCCAACATCAATCTGGATCCCAAATCACAGTTCACCTCTGATATACACTTAATCCCCTTCAAATTTACCGTTAACTTTATTACCCTAATTCACCTTCATCTCTTCAAATACTTTGTATTCAATTAATCACCAATCACCATTTAATAATTTTTAAATACTACTAAAACCCTCAATATCCCTATTTGGCTCTAATAGTGTAACGTTTGCTTCATGTTTGCGACTAAAAGGCTGCGTTTTATTTTAAAAATTACTCCATGCGAATAAAAGGCAGACGGCTAGTAACTGCCGCGTCTAAATGGCAGATGGCTGGTTGTTTTTGATTACACTTAACTTTTTCATGAAAAATTAGAGAAAAACAACTTTTTCTCTATTATTTTTTAAAAAGAAAATTTTTCGTGTCAAAACAAATTCTGTTTTTCTTTTTAAAAAACGGAAAAAAGCGTGACGGAAAGTGTGAAATTATATGGTTAATTATACGTGGAAAATTTAAAACATCTTTTTAAAAAAAAACTTTTTTTTTATTCAAAATATTTTTATTAAAAGATTTAAAGGATTCTAAAACAATAAAAAACAAATTTTAATTAAAATAAATATTCAAAGATTATTTCAAAATTTGTTTAAAATTTATTGTTTTATTTTTTGGAAACATTTTCCAAAATTTTATTTATTTTGTTTGGAATTAATTTTTATTGGAAATTTGCCCAATTTGTTTTTTAAAAATTGAAAGAATTCCATAGTTAAAATTTATTGTAACTATGGAATTCCTAAATACAAAAAAAATATTTTTGAAATAAAAATAAATTTAAAAGAAATTAATTTAGTTTTTCTTTTCTTTATTCGTTGAAAACTAAATTAACAAAACTTTTGACTTTAAAAATATTCTTTTTTTTTCTTTTTTAACTTTTAATTGGTCCATTTACCGTTTATTCTAAATTTCTTTTCATTAACGAAACTACATAACCATATATATAATGAAGACCACACAAGAATATAAAGCCTCCTTCTTCTTTTCCTCCTTCAAATAAAAGGAATTAAATGAAAAGGAAAAGCACATTAAAAGCCCCCACTTTTACTTTTTCTTCTCTTTACATTTTAAAGCTTTTTCTGTGTAATGCCCATCTTTTTTTAACAAAAAAGATTCATCTCCTTTTATCAACCGAGTGCCCAAAATATTTTTTTTATTATTTTTTATTCAAAATATAAATTTTTCAAAAAATATTAAAAAAATATTTATTTTACTTTACTTTTTCGTTTAAATTCCTCCACCAGAATTAATGGAGTCACTATGTGTGACTATAGTTCGGTTTTTTAATCGCTATAAAATATTCAAAATTCCGTATAAAATTTTCTTAATAAATTTTGTTTAAATTTTAATTAATTAAAGAAGCTTAATTATTAAGAGTCTCATTTTTAAAATAATTAGTCAAAGATTTTAAAATTTTCAAAATTTTTTATTGAGAGAATGAAAACATTTATTTATTTTCAACAAATTGCTACAAAATCTAGACAATTATTTATTTAAAATCAAAATACCAAAAATTTATTCAAAAATAATAATTCCTTTTCTAGTCAAAATCACTTCCCTCAACACGTCCCTAACTAAAATAGAAAATCCGGAACCACAAAAAATTATTTTGATGTTTTATTCTTTTTTTATTACATTTATTTGATTTAAATTTTACAAGGATTATGTAAATATATTTTTGTTGGAAATTTTATTTTAAATATATTTTTGAGTAGTTTAAATATTAAATGGTTTTTAAATTAAAGTTTAAAAATTATTATTCAAAAATCACTGAAATTTTTGCATTATTTTAGCTCTAGATAAATATTGGAAGTGAAATATTTAAATATTATGTTTAGATAGTTTGTCGATCCCTATTCATTCCATTTTTTTAACAATAAAATTCGATTTGATCTAAAGACATTAAAAATTATATAGTTGATTTATTCCGTTTTTTTTTATTTATTTAAATATTCTCCTCAAAATGATTCTTATTATTAAAATTATTCTGTAAGGTTAACAAAGTAAAGGTACAATTTTTTGATCCCAAAAATTATATTTTTGTTATATTTTATATTAATTACTTTTTTTCTTTAAAAATATTAAATTAAAATAATATTAATCTATTATATACTTATTATATATTTAAGCAATAATAACACATATTACTGCCAAAATTTAATAAATAATTTATTTGGCTGTCAAAAATAGCCTTTTTTCTAAATAACAAAAACAAGATAAATTACTTATTTATAGTAGACTTTGTAATAAATTATTTTATATAATTAATTAATTTTTTGAAGAAAAAAGTAATTGTTTAAAGAACATCATTTAATTTTTAATTATTTTAAACTTCATTTATTTAAAAACCCATATAAAAAATAATTTACAAAAAATATTCTTTACCCTTTAAATTTTTAATTAAGCATTTATTTATTAAAAGAAATATTTTTTATTTATTTAAAGCCCACACAGCAAAAAATATTTTTTTTTGTAAAAAAATATTTTCTTAATATATTTGCTTGATTAAGCTATTTAAAAGTAAATAATAAACAATTCTCTCTTTTTTGGAATTAATAAATGAAAAAACAAATGTCATCTTTATATTTTTTTAAATTCAGTTTATTATTATATTTATTTTATTTTTCATTCCCTGTAAATATTTATAAAATTTTTTAAAAAATTTAAATAATTTTTATTTTAATTATTTAAATTCTAGACAATTTGTCATGCTTATTTTAAAGTTAAAATATGTTCTTATTAATTTATTTTGGATGTTAAATTTTTAAATAATCTTTTTTTCCTGAGGGATTAATTGAGTTGAATAAGTGAGATATTTAAAACTTTTCCTTTTAATCATTTTATATTAATTTAAAAATTAATTAGTAGAAAATTAAATTTTATTGTTAAAAATTATTAATGAAAGGTGTTCTTTCTTTTTTAATTCTCACATTTTTATTTTTAAGGAGAATTCCTAAATAATTTATTTATTAAATTTCCCTAAAAATACAAAATTAATTTTTCGTTTCCTTTTCTAAATTTAAAATTAATATTTTAATTATTTGAGAATTTGATTTATTTTAATTCAATATTTCTTATAATTTTTTATAATATTTTAAATAATATTTAAAGTATATTTTTGCTAAATTTAAAATTTTTTTTGTTTATTAAATAACTCTTGTAAAGCTTTGCTAATGTTTTTTTTCTTTTTTAAGGCTTAAATTATAAACTTGTTTCCTCCAAAAATAAAATGTTATTAACCCTTCCATTATCCCCTCTGCTTTTTATTATTATTTTTTAATTTAAAAGATTAAATAAAAAAGAAAAATAATTTTCAAACAAAATTGCCTATTCGAAAAGTAAAAGTACATAAATATTTATTAAATCTTTTTTCTCTCCTTAAAAGCAACAATTTTTATTATACCACGCATATTTATCCTCCTCACATTTTGTAATTTATTCAATATGAAAATGTTTTTAATAAATATTGGAAAAAAGGGGAAAGGCTAACTCAGTTTCTAGTCAAAAAATATTTTTTTATGAAAATATTATGACAAATTTTGAATTGATATTTTATTTACTTAAATATTTTTATTTTTTATTTCCTTCATTTAACTTTTACTATTTCCGATATATAAACTTTCCCCTTTTTTTCCTTCCCCAAAAATAAATTGTTTAGTTAAATTCTATATATCTTTTAACATGCCATATGTACTTTTTACTTTCTCCAGACATTCTCTTTTCTTCAATAAAAATAAATTTTGGAAGGAAATATGTAATTCATTTAAATGTCCGTAAAAATATTCTTTGGGCGAAACATTTATTTTTAAAAAATTTTATATGATTTTCTAATAAGATTTTTCTTATCAAATATTTTTTTTGATAAATTTCGAATATATTTTATAGACTAACAATTTTTTTCTTAAATCTTACGCAAACCACTATTTATTTAAAAATAATTCATATTCTTTATAATTTTTTAGATGTTTCTTTCTGTAGAAGATATTAACCGTCAATGTCCTAGAGCAGTCAATCCTAACGACACAAATAATTGGGAGACATTTCCTTTTGATGATAATTGCTTAAAAGTTTGAGAATAATAAATTTTTAATTTAAAATTAAATTTTTAAAGTCATTTTTTCATAAATTAACTGCACACCTTCGGCGTTATTATATTTGGGAAACAGCAGTTTATACTTCTTTTTATGTTTTAATTTCGATTTGTGCAATAATTGGAAATGGATTGGTTTGTTTATAAAAATATTTGAAAGAATATATGAAGCTGTATTAAAAAATTGAAATCTAAATGGGCTCTAAAATTAATAAATAAATAATAAGCGAAATAATATAAATTCGGAGAAGCCAGATTTTCAAAATTTCCTTCAATTTACCTCCCAAAATCACCTACTACAATTCAAAATTCAATTATGGTAATTCATTATGGTATTTTTTTTATTTTTAAAGGTAATTTTGGCTGTTGTTAGAAAACCAGCAATGCGAACAGCAAGAAATGTTTTAATTGTTAATTTAGCTTTATCTAATTTAATGTTGGCATTAACTACTGTAAATATATTTTTTAAAATTAATTAATTAATTATTTATTTAAAGGTTCCATTCCTTTGGCTTCCCTCCATTGATTTTGATTTTCCTTATTCCAATTTTTTCTGTAAATTTGCAAATGCTTTACCTGGCTCAAATATTTATTGTTCTACATTAACTATTTCTGTAGGGATTTTTTGTAAATATTTTTTAAAAGAAATTATTTTTAAAATCCAAAATTTTATAAGGTAAATGTCCGGTTGGTGTCCTACATGTCCGCAAAGAGAATGCGCATTTTTCCTTCCTTTTCTTGCATTTTTTTCTGCAAGGAGTGGCGCCCATTTTTCCTTTGTGTATGGTAGTCTTTTGGCATGTCGAAGGAAAGAGGGAAAATAATAAAAATTAATTACTAATAGAGTACAAATAAATATTTTATTTTATAAATGATCAGAGATGAAAAATTTGGGACAACATTCTCAAATAAATTTCTAAAATATCTGGGGGAATCTTAATCCATTCGAAATCTTAATCTGTTCCAGAATGCTGCAATCTGCACCGTTGACTGGATTCATAAAGAATTGTTGATGATTTACTGTTTGGTGTTGATATCCTAACTGATCTAAACCTAAAGTGAATTAATTCTATTTGTAAATCAATCTAACATTATTAGTTATAATAACTTTATTAGTATTAAATTGAGTACTCTATTAGTAATTAATTTTTATTATTTTCCCTCTTTCCTTCGACATGCCAAAAGATCAATCTAACATTAGCCCATTTTTCGCGCCCATTTTTCACAAAGGAAAAATGGGCGCCACTCCTTGCAGAAAAAAATGCAAGAAAAGGAAGGAAAAATGCGCATTCTCTTTGCGGACATGTAGGACACCAACCGGACATTTACCATTTTATAATTCTTTAAATTCACATAAAAATAAATAAGAAAATACATATTATATTAATTAACAAACATTTTTTCTTTAAATTATTAATTCTCTCCTTTATTTTCTTTAAGATTCTCTTTCTCCCCATCCTCATTTTCTTCTTCATTTCCTTTATTCATTACTTCATCCTTACTTTCATTATCATCTTTTCCTTCCTTTTCTTTAATTTCATTCTCTCCCTCCTCCTTTTCTTCATTATGCTTCTCCTCCAGCTTCTCATTAATTTCTTCCTTCTCCTCTCCCTTCTCTTCATTAATTTTTTCAGTTTTAGTACTAACTTCCTCCGGTCTACTTGTAGTTATTTCATCACTTTTATTTTCTTCATCTTCTTTGCCTTCATCATTCGAATGAGTAGTTCCTTCCAAATTGATCCTTTCCACAACATTTTCCTCTCCCTGCTTAATTTCATCCTCCTTGTCTTCTTCTTTCTCTTCTTTCATCTTCTCATCCTCTTTTTCTTCATCATATATTCCATCGAAATCAACCCCATTTTTAGGAAGTACTATTTTCTTTGTTGTAGTCGTGTTGGATGCTTCTGTTGTATTGTTAATTGTCTCTATTGTAGGCACTAATTCTGTTGTCGTTTTCAATTCCGAAACTTTTTTTGGAATAAAAGAGTCATACAAAGTTTTTTCCCAATCATATGTTTCTTCTGTTGAATTTCCAGTTAAATTTATACTTAAACCTTGCATCTACAAAATTTAAAATTCCAAATAGATTAAAATCTTTAAAAAAGAAATACTTCAAAAACATGATCTGTCAAATCATTTAATTCTAATTCTCTTGCGAAGTTGATAACTTGCTAAAATAGAAAAGCTAAGTATATTTTAGATATTTTAGGCATTCCCTAAAAGACCCAAAATTTAAACAGAATGATGTTTAAATTTTATTCCTACAACGAAATTTTAAATCATACTTTAGTTTTTTCTCCTTCACAGCTATGTTCAATCTCAATTTTGAATTTATGTTTATATCTAAATTTGGAATAATAAAAGATTTTTAAATTTAAATTTACGTAAGGGGAGCAATTTCAATTTCATCATCGAGAGATTTGCGTGAAGGACAGAGACTTTAAAAAATTAATTTATAAAATATTTTCTTCCAATTATTCTCTTACCGTTCACTTAATATACCTCCAACAATGAATTTATTATCATATTTTGTCAAGTCGAGTTCAAGAGTGCTTAAAATTTTGGGGTGAATTGATTATTTATTAAATACTCTCCAACCTGATGTTTTCATTCATTTCAGGGCAAATATTTCCAATCGGTCCCTTAAAATTAAACAAAAATATTTTTTGGAAAAAAATCAGAAAATTACTTTTGGATGCGATTGAATGAATTTTAAAGTGATTGTCTGATTACTTGAATTTCCACAAATCACACAACCTCCAATCGTTACAAGGGCCATATCTAATTTTTAGAAAATTTACTTTAATTATTTCATCATTTTTAACCTTGCATATAATTCTTTTTATATTCAGAAATATTTTTTGGGTTGTTCCTTTTAAATAATGTACTGTTTTCAACAATATCAATTCCTTTAGACCCAAAAAATTTATATCGAGCACAAAAAATAAATGGCCTTAAATTATAAGAATTTCCACTGAATTTATTTGGAGCCTTCATTTAAACTTACATATAATTTTCGGTTCGGCAATATCTCAATTTAAAAAGGTTCGCTGGCATGTCGACGCCTCCTACATCTTTATTTTTCTTTACTTTTATCTTTGATGAGTATGTTTAAAAATTATTTTATTAGAAATTTTCTTTAAACACCTCTATATTGTGTATATATCCTCAGAACCTATTTAATATTGCACGATAAAATAAACTAATCTTAAATGTTGAGGAGAGAGGGATCTTAAATTTCTTTTGAAAAATACACAAATAGAGGTATGAAATTGTTTACCGTTTCATTAAATTCATCAATAACTTTTGTTTTGGAAGCTAATCCTTTCCCCTCGGTTAAGGTGCAATCATATCCATCAAAATTAACAATTTCATTCATTTTATTTTCACTATCATTGTTTTTAGTAATATTTTTATTATCAGTTTCGTTTTGGTTCGGAGTCTCTTCAGCATGCATATTTTCACCATAATAATCATCCAAAGAAGCAGTTGTTTGGTCCGTTGAATGCGAAAAATGTGATAAATCTTCTTCGCCTAGATCATCTTCGCTCTCAAATTTTTAAAAATTTAATGAAAATTAAAAAAACTTTGCCTTTTCCTTCTCATCATTTCCTTCAATATTTCCTTCAGTAGTTGTTGAGTTTGTGGCAGAATTTTCCTCCTCAGTCGTCGATGTTGGCAGAGTTTCGTTGTTTGCTGGTTCAAGTTCTTCCCCCCTTTTAGCCCGTAAAGGAACCTTTGCTGAACCTTTATCAAACAAAAAGGCAAAAATACTAAAATAATCAAAATTTTCTTTGTTTTTTAAAATTAATTTAAGCAAACCTTAAAGTTGTTAGAAAAAACAGCTTTTTGTTCATCGTTAATTAAAAAATAATATTTTGATACTAAAAATGAAAATTTTAATAGAGATTAGACAGTTTTATATTAAATAATTAGTTTAAATTATTTTTTCTGTTATTTTTAATGATTCATCTTTTTAAGCTTATAAAAATTTAAACGTTCAAAATTTATTTTTTGTTTGTCACTTTTCTCTCATTTAATTTCTGTTAAAAAATTAATTTTAGCTAAATTGATTTAGACAACAGATAAAGCTGATTTTTAAATTATTCATTAATTTGTTAACCGGAAATAGTTTGATTGAAAATAAAAAAAAATTATTTTTTAATTAAATATTTATTTATTTAAGGTAATGGCCATTGATCGTTATTATTCTGTACGTTCAATTAAAGTTGCCGGCCCTTCAAGTAGATCAGGAAATTGTGTTCGGGCACTCTTAATCTCCGTCCTTATTTGGGTTTGGATTTAATTTTTAAATTAAACTAAATTTTTTTTTATCTCAAAAATATATTTTTCCGTTTTACTAATTAAGATTTTATTTTATTTTAGGTTCTTTCTCTTCTACTTTCGTTCCCTTTACTCATTTATTATCAAATCAACATGCTTTATGTATTTAAGGTAATTAATTAAAACACTTTTTTAAAAAATAATTATTTATCTATAGGATGTTTATGTATTAAAAGAGGAAAGTTCAAAACCAGAAGGAAATTCAACTCTCGTAGAATTAAAAAGTTATGGGTGGAGACAATGCCGTTTAACAACTACGAGTGATACTGTTGGGGGACACGGAACTTTTATTCATCATGATGAGGGGATAGTTAATGAAAGGATGGTCCAGGCAAGTTAATTGTTGTTGATTTTCTGATTTCTACAGCCCAATTTTTTAAAATAAAATCTTTAAAAAATTAACAATTAAAAGAAATCCTTTCCTCAATCACTGAAAATATCCTTTTTCATCGCAGAATTAAATTTTAAAATAGTTATTTTTTTGTTAAAATTTTATTTTTTAGTTAGGAATGTCCTTAATGCAAGCATTGATGCTTTACGCTGTCCCTCTTGTTGTTCTCTTAATTTTTAATCTTAAATTAACACGATTTTTGGAAAAGAATTCAAAAAATATGAATAATCGTTTACCTAAAATGTCTGTTTCTGCAACACAACAAAATAGAGTTGAAAAGGTTTTTAGTTAAAAATATGTAAATATTTAAATAAATTAAAATAAAGATGGATCGTCGAACATCAGATAATGAGTCTTTAAGTTGTGCAGAAAAACTTATGGAAAATTCAGATGGACAACAAAAAGGGGTAAATAGTACAAAAGTGAGTAAAAAGAAGTTTTTAATTAATTTTTTAAATTAATTTTTTTAGTCTGGCAGCCTTGTGTCTGGAGTAGCTGTTGCTTCTTCTACTACAAATAATTTAAGAAAGAGTTCTGGAGGGGCTTTAATTAACAATCAACAGAAAAGAAGAAATAAAACAACATCCCTTTTATTTGCTATGGCTGGGTCTTATGCATTTTTGTGGTTTCCATTTACTTTGATATCTGTTCTGATTGATCTTGATTTAATGGTAAATTATTTATGAGAAAAAAATTATTCATCAGAACATCTAGTAAAGATGCCCCCAAATCCCCAATAATTTTTTTAAGTTGCAGAAGGTGAAGAAGAAGTTTTTAAATATCATCCTTAAAATCCTTTTCCTCTCTGACTTTGAATTTCTAAAATAAATATTTAAATCTCCATTCATATATTTAGAATTAATGTTTAAAAAATTATAGGAAGGAGGTTCCCCAACAATGGAAAGAGTTGATCAAGCATGTAAATTGGTAATTAAAAATTAATATTCCTATTTATTCATTCTTTTTAAAGATTTCAATTTTATCAATTTGTGTAAATCCTTTCCTTTACGGATTTTTAAATACAAATTTTCGTTCTGAATTTAATGAAATATTTATTAAATGTATTCATTGCCTTCCTTTAATTCTTCGACAAACAATAGAAAAGAAACAATCAACAAAAATACAAATTGTGGGAATTAAAAGAAGAAGTGTTAGCATTAAAAGGAGTAATTCAAATAGTAAAAAGAATTGTTTTGATAAAAATAAAGATGTAATTCTTTAAATTTATATTAATAAATAAATTTGATTATATATAAATATTTAAATGTTTAATTAACTTTTTTATACTTTAATTGGGTATATTACTATTATGGCATCAATCACAATTCAAATAATTCTCGATACTTTTTGTAGTTATACGAAACAAAAATTTCAATTTAAGAATTTCAGTAGCTTTATTTATATCTTTATTTCGCTCAATTAAAAGAAAATTATGCATATATTATTTTAAAGGATGGCACAAAATCAAATTTTTGATTACATAAATTATTTAAAAGAATTTTTGACAAACAAAAAAATTATAAAAATAAAATATTAGTTAAACACCATTTTTCACTCCTCATTAGATTCTTCTTCCTCTTTCTTTTCAGTTGCCGTTTTCATTGTATTACTTTTTTCCAGTTTAATATTCTCTTCATCCTTCTCCTCATTTTCTTCTTCCATATTATCCTCAATCATTTTATTTTTAATTTCGTTAAAAACTTCTTTATTTTCCATATTTTCCTCATCATTATTTTCAGATAAATGTTCCTGTATTGATTCTAACTTAAATTGAATTTTTTTAATTTTATTTAATAAAATTCTTTCGGGTAATTTAGAGCAACGAAAAGAGGAATAACAGAAATTTTTGGGGATTGATAATATAGGGAATTAAAAAGAATTACTATGTATATCCCCTATTTATTTAAATATTTACATATGTAACTGTTAGATTAGGTTTATTGAATTCTTTTTCTTTTTTCAACTTCTTTAATTCAGCCGGAGATAAAGCAGTGTAGTAATTATACCCCAAACCTTCATTTTTATTTTCCCAATCCCAATCAAATATTTCTTCCATGTCTTGTTTGTCATTAGTCAAATTAATTAATAATCCGCGTAACTACATATAAAATTTAAAAAATAATTTTTAAAAAACATTTTAAAAATTACTTCAAAAACATGATTTTCCACATTTTTAAAGTTTATTTCTTTTGCAAAATAAATTTTACGCTTAAAAATAAAATATATTTTTCCGAAAATTGAATTAAAAATATTACCGTATTTGACAGTCCATTACAGCTATGCTCAATAATGATGCTGAACTTGTGGGTATAGCTAAATATATTTAATGATTCAAGAATATAGTAAATTCGAGAATACAAATATTCAAAAAAATTATAAATTTTGTTATTTTCCTTTAAAAATTTTAAACTCAATCGGAATTAGTTGAGGATATAATTTTGGATAAATTTCTAATTATTTTGCGCCATATTCGATTTACAGGTATAAAACGCATGAATTTATTTAAAAATTTTGTCTCTGAATAATTTTAATTAACCTGAGCGGTACAAATTGAATTTCATCATTTATTGTTTTTCGTGTAGGACAAAGACTTTAATATTATTTTTTAAAATTTTTATTTAAATATTAACCGCTCATTTAAAATTCCACCAGTACTAAATCCACCATTTTTATAATTATTTAAATTAAAAGTAAAATTACTTTAAAAGAAGAGATATACTTTAATAATAATTATTTTGACCTAATCATTGTTACTTGACCATCTGCACAAACAGGCTTAATTGGCCCCTATAAACGTTAAAATAATTTAAAAATCTAACAATTTTAATTACTTCTTTATGATTTTGATAAAATAATATGTTGATTGGTTTAGTTTTGTCTTTGCATAAAACACAGCCTTCAATCAAAACGAGAGCAAAATCTGAGGATTTTTTAAATTAAATTTTTATTAAAAATTAAAGTCGGGGAATTATTTTAATTTCTTATAATTTTTTCATAAAAAGTTGTTAATTACCATATCTAATAACTTTTTTCCCTTCTTTAATTTAAACATTACCTTGCATATAATTCTCGAGATATTCATTAATATTCGTTGGATTGTTTGGTTTAAATAATTCTTTATTGAAAGTTTTATTTTCATCAGAATTAAAAAATTTAACTTTGGCACAATAAGAAAATTGCCTAAAATTTAGTTTAAAATATTTAAAATATTTTTTTAATATAAACTCATAATTGTCAACACCACACTTTACTTCAGCCGATTTTTCCAAACTTTTAATTCCAAATTCGTCAGTAATTCCCTCATTAACAATAATCTATTTATAAATTTATATTTTTTTAGAAAATTAATAAACTTTATTTTGATTATTTAGGGGTATTTGGATTATCTCGACACCAAAATAAAGAAAAGATCATTTAAAACAATAAAAAACTTAATTTTAAATTTTAATCCAAAAATTATTTAAAAAGGATTCAATTGCCATTTTAATTACCTTTCCATTCACCGCATAGATTGATTTACCATTGTTTGAAGCTTTAAAATTTGCTTCTTCATCTGGTACAACCAAACATTCATTTTCCTCAAGGTAAACATTTCTTTTTGGAATATTATTATTTTCCTCAGCCTGGATTTGCTCTTCATTTTTTTGAAAAGATTTATTATTTGGACTTTCTTCCTGTTGTTTATTTTTAAAGTTAAAAATAAATACTAAATATATTTACTGTAACAGTTATTTCTGCCAAACTAGAATTCTCAGCATACTCTACAGTTGTTTGTCCAGATTCTTGCCCTTTAGTTGTGATATTAAAATTTTCATAACCTTTAACCAACAATAATGGAAGAAAACTTAAAAATATTTTTAAAATTAATTTTAAAAATTAATTTTATAAACCTTAAAATTGTCAGAATAAAACATTTTTTGTTCATTTTGCTTTTTAATTAAAAAGTATTAAATATATTTAAATGAATGTAGAATTAATATTTTATTTATTTAAATATTTTTATATAAATGATGATTCATTTTTAATGATTTAAGCTTTATGTCCACAAATATTTAAACGACATCCCATTTGTAAAACAGTCTCACGTTAACGTCGGATTTTTTATACACGAAGGGTGTCCATACAAGCGAGGTCCTACTATTTATTATCACAAAACGGAAGTCTTTTTTACTGTCATTTTACTGTAATTTTTTATATGGAATAAGAGAAAATAAAATTTTTAAAAGTGCATACAAAAGTTCAGTGAATTCAGAGAACTTCTATTTAATTTAGAAGTATCACCTTATAAATTTCGATATTTTTATTAAAATAAGATTACATAAGTGTTTTTGTCTTGAATAATAACATTTAAATTTTTTTTTTAAATTTATAAACTTGTTAGAAATCTTATTATATCTTTTAATCCAAAAATATGAAATATTGGGCGTATTACTTTTTCAATAATTTTTAGATAAGAAAATGAAGTCCCAGCTTTTTTTTTATTATTTTAAAGTAGAGTAAGTCGAGCTCGAGCGAGTTCGAGTTACTCGACTCGACCGCTCGGGTTTTTTGCGTAATTACTCGACTCGGAACTCGGGATCATAATACTCGAATTACTCGAGCTCGGAAACTTCCTACTCGACGTACTCGGTTAAAACCGAGTATTTTTATGCCCCCATCTGCGGCGCAAAAAGGAAGATTTTTAGCTTAAGGATCTTCCAAAATTCCCCCCGGAGCCCGGATTTGACATGGATCGTCTGCATATCATGGAATTTTTGCGGATTAAGAGGGATATAGAAGGATTAACGAAAATAACTGAGATTTGGATGAAGATCTAACGCATTACTGCCAATAAATGCTCAAAACACGGCACTAAGGATGAATAGTCTTTAGTAAAAGTATTGTTTTTATTGAAATTATTTTAAATTACTGTTTTATAAAAAATACTCGATTACTCGACTACTCGAACTCGAACTCGGCCTAAAAAGTTGAGCTCGAGCTCGAACTCGGGTTTTTCAAACTCGGATTACTCGAGCTCGGTTTTTTCCCAATTACTCGGTACTCGACTTACTCTATTTTAAAGAATTCTCTTGTCCATAACCTCTCAAAAATTTGGTTTAGGTATTATAAAACAATACATAAAGGATTAAATAATATTTATTAAGTAGAAAATTAATTGAAAATAAAAAATAAAAAACGGGCAAAGCAAAATAAACAAATAGATAATTTTTTTTCTGAAATTAAACATTTATAAATTCATTCCTTCTTTACCTCATCAACCTTTTCTATTTCCTCAACTTTTTCTTTTTCATCCTTGTCCTCTTCTTTCTTCTTATTTTCCTCATTTTTCTCTTCTTTCTTCTCATTTCCACCATTTACTACTTCTTCCTTCTCTTTCTTATCTTCATTTATTTCTTCTTCTTGGGTAATCTGATCACCTTTTTCAGGATTTTTCTCTTCCACCTTAATTTCTTCTTCTTGAGTAATCTGTTCATTTTGATAATTAATCGTTTCGTTCGTTTCCTTCTCTTCATTAGTTGAATTTAAGGCTTCTAAATTCTCTTTAAATTGTTCTGGAGCACCCAGACTCTCGTTTTTCTTCTCTTGCACTTCCAATTCCACTTCCTTCAGCATATTATTATCCTCTTCTTTTACTTCTGCCGCAACAACTTCAAGTTCCTCATGTAATTTCTTCATTTTTTCCTCCTCATAATTTTTCTTTTTCTCATTTTCTTCTTCACTCTTCTCTTCATTTATCACTTCTCCATGTTTCTCTTCATCATGATTATCTTTTTCTCCATGTTTCTCTTCATCATGATCATTTTCCTCTTCATTATTATGCTCATCGTCATCTTCTTCATTCTCGTCTGTAATATACTCCGAATGCATAACTTCCTCGCCCTTAAAATTAATTTACTTATTGTTCATTTTTATTTAAATCTGGATTTAACCCAAAGAAAGGAAATACACAAATAATGAATCCCCACTCCAAATGTAAAATTATCAAAGAACGGGAAATGGAGCCATAAAACTTTATAAAACTATTAATTACTTGAGCAATTTCAGAATCATTTGATTGTTTAAATTCCTTGGCAGCAAAATAAGTATAGCCCAAACCTTCCTTTTTATCATTCCAATCCCAATCAAATGTTTCCTCATTTTGATTTAAATTAATATTTAAATCTCGAAGCTTAAATTTAAAAGAATTATTTAAAATTTAAAGAAATTTACTTCAAAAATATGTTCCTTCAAATTTTCAAAATCAATAGCCTTTGCAAATTTGGAAACATACTGAAATTTTAAAATAAATTATGTTATCCTAACTGGAATATTTAAAAAATTAAGGCTGAAAGGAAAAGAAAATACCCTAGGTTATCATAAAGAATTCCGGTCTTGCCCTCACAACAAATGAAATTTTTGAATATTTTTTCGAGTTTAAATTTATTTTTGGGCATCAATTAATTGACAGGTATCCCATTTATTACAGATAACCCAGAAAATTCATTACCGTTTCTTTATTTCCTGCACAGCTGTGTTCGATAACAATTTTGAAATTGTGCTTATATCTATTTAATTTTTAAAGAATTAAAAATTTATTTATTTAATTTACTTAAGCGATGCAAGTTCAATTTTATCCTCAAGGGTTTCTCGTGCTGGACAGAGACTAAAACAATTTGTTACAAAAATATTTCATAATTTAAACTTTTAATTACCGTTCATGCAATATGCCACCAACAATAAAACCACCATTATATTTTTCATAGTCAAGAATATAATGGCTTAAATTTAAATAGAAAATAATTTAAAAATATATATTATTTCTACCTGATGAGTTTTTCTTCTTCTGGACATGCATCCTTTATTGGTCCCTACAATTTAATAAAAGATAACTAACAATAAAAATAAACTAACATTTAATAAAAGAAATTTCAAAAAATAAATTTTTTACCGCTTCGTTTATCTGCCAAAATGTTATGTTGATTGGGCCTTTGTCTAAGTTTTCACAAGTAAAACAACCTTCAATCAAAACAAGGGCAGTGTCTGGAAAGAATTTTTTGAAGTTAAATTATTTAAAACTTTTTAAAGACCTTGCAAAGAATGTTCTTTATATTGGGTAATATTTTTTGGATTGTTAGGCTCCAATTGTTTTCCCTCACGGATATCTTTCAATTCAAGTTTACCAAATAATTTAACTTTGGCACAGTAAGAATATTGACTAAAATAAAAATTAAATAAAAATTATTTTTTTTTAAAATTCACTCATAGTTTTTAATTCCACATTTAAAATTAGAAAGTTTTTCCAAAGTTGAAAGGCCAATTCCTTCTGATTGTTTTTCATTATAAATTACCTAAATATTTTAATATTCTCCCCTTTATTTTAAAAAATTAACTTACATCACCCTTTACTGCATAAATTTCATCAAATATTTCTGATTCTTTATCAGATGTTGTTATAAAACACTTCTCTCCATCAAAATTGCTTACATATTTTGTTTCATTTTTTTCTTTTTCCGGAGGATTTGGATTCTCTTCGCCCTTTTATTATTTAAAATTTAAAAAATTTAAACATAAATTTACCTGTTCCTGTTCATCATCATCCTCTTCTCCCTCCTCCTTTTTCTCTCCCTCTTCCTCCACCTCATGAGCTTCATTATTTTCAGTAGTTGTTAAAAAATCATTGGCAGTAGATTGTTCATGAATTGTTTGCGGGTTTTCTGTTGTTTCATTTAATTCAATTGCTTCTCTCTCATTTCGAACTTTTACAGAATCAGTTCCCTCAGAAAATTTAACAAGAGGACTGGCATCATTCTCTTCCTTCTCATACTTTTAGAATAATAATATGGTGTGTAACATAATTATAAAGGAACCCATATTTTTGATCATATCTCGAGTTTTTCTTGATGAATTGGGTTGAATTTTATATATGTGATAAAAAAACCTTATTTTGGTATAACATGCAAAAAATGAAGCGGTTTTGTCAAAATTTAAATTTTTTATGAATTTTTTTCAAAAATTTTGGTGTAACATAATTATAAAGGAAGTAAAAATAATTTACCTAAATATGGTAGAAAAAATCCACAAAAATTCCAGTGAACACATCTATTGATATCAATGAGAAATGCAAAAGAAACGAAGTTCTAATATACTTCCATCATCGAGATCTCGAAACCCGAAAATCAACGGAAAACAGGGGGTAGACGTCTTTAAAAAATATTTTCGACCCCTTACAGGTGAAATAAAATTTTCATTTTGGGCTTATTTGAAAGCCTGTAAGAGGTCGAAAATATTTTTTAAAGACGTCTACCCCCTGTTTTCCGTTGATTTTCGGGTTTCGAGATCTCGATGATGGAAGTATATTAGAACTTCGTTTCTTTTGCATTTCTCATTGATATCAATAGATGTGTTCACTGGAATTTTTGTGGATTTTTTCTACCATATTTAGGTAAATTATTTTTACTTCCTTTATAATTATGTTACACCAAAATTTTTGAAAAAAATTCATAAAAAATTTAAATTTTGACAAAACCGCTTCATTTTTTGCATGTTATACCAAAATAAGGTTTTTTATCACATATATAAAATTCAACCCAATTCATCGAGAAAAACTCGAGATATGATCAAAAATATGGGTTCCTTTATAATTATGTTACACACCATAATTTATAAATTATATTTTCAATTAATTATTCTTTCAATAAGCGAATAATTAAGTAAAAAGGTTTCAAGTTAAGTTAAAAATTAATTTGATGATATTTTGATTACTTACCTCTTCCTCTTCTTCATATTCATCCCATCTGTTTATTTCCCTCGCAAATCCTTTACGAGTACGCATATAGTTACTGGCAGTCGTTGCTTCCGAGGTTTGTTCATAAGTTCCAGTTGGCAAGTCTGTGGCATTATTTTGGTCATTTGTTGGCATTTCTGTTGACGTTGGCAATTCTTCATTATTTATTTCTTCCAACTCTACTCTACTAGCTCGCAATCGAATCTTTCCGGAACCTTTATCAAACAAGAGGAAAAGAAGACTTAAAAATATAAATTTTATTTTCAAAGAAAATCAAAGACTTTCAAAACAAACCTTAAAATTGTTAAAGAAAATAATTTAAAATCCATTTTTGTTGGCTAAAAAATAAATGTTTTTAATTGAAAAAATGAAAATTTTAATAGAAAATGAACAGTTTTATATAAAATTAAAAAAATCTGATAGATTTTTATCATATTAATGGTGATTCACTTTTTTATATGGTTTGCTAAAAAAATAAAAATAAATCATAGGAGCGTCTAAATTTATTCTAACACTTTTAACATTAAATTAAATATGTATTTGATTTTATTTTAAAAACAAAAAAATTTTGCTTTTCATTTTTGTTAAAAATATTTAATGAAAACATAAAAACGATAAATAGCTAAAACAACGGAAATGATGATTAATTAAATTTTTAAATGAAAATAGGTTTGAGTAGATTAGAAATTAAATATTTAAATTAAGGATTCAATAATTAAATTTGCTAGATTTTGTATTATAAATAAAAATAAATAAAAGGATTGAGGGATGGCATTGCTCTGTTAATTAATATGTGAGTTAGAGTTGATTAAGGCTTTATTGCTCAAGGATTAAAAGCAACAAGGCTTCACAAAGGCTTTTTTCAGAAAAGTTTTTGTCTTTAAATTGCCAAAAACAATAAATTTTTGATAACAAATTAATTTATTCCATTTTAAATATTATTTAAAATATTTTTTAAATTTAATTAATCCTCTTCACAACAATTTTCTCTTCACAACAATTTTAAATTTAAGACGGATATAATTATTTAATTCCCTAAAATTGTCTACTTTTCTAAGGAAATTTCCAACTTTAGATTTTGAAAAAAATTGACTCGTTTAATTTACAAAATTTAAATCCTACTAATAAAAACAAGGATCAACAAAAACAAAAATTTTGTTCTTTCCAAATTAAATTATATTATAAATTAAATTTACATTTATTTTCTAATAATATTTAAATTTTTTGGAATAAATTAATTAAAATTAATTGTTTAAAATTTTTAACTTTAATTTCACAAACAACATCCTTTTTTTAAATTCTTTTATTTTGTTCTTATTTAATCTTTCTTTTATTCAATCATCTTTTGACTCATATATTCTATACTAATCTTTATCCCTAAAATTGAAAAAAATTTCTTCATTTATTCAACAATTTTCAATTTTTTGTTATACATAAACAGGATTTTTTAGGAAATATAAGGCTATTTTCCTCAAAATATTTTGAAGATCATTGGCACGAATAAAACCCCTAAATGGTGGTCTAACTAGGTATATTATTTTTCAATGTTAACCAATTTTGTTTTTATAAAATATTAAATAATAATTACATTTTTTAGCATCCTCCAACGTTTCCTTCATATTTTCCACAATTATCTTTTCATCAGTAACCAGATGAGGTAAAGCCGCTATTAAAAATTCAAAGAATTTAATTGTTGGATATCCCGATTCAATTATTTCTAGAGAATTTAATGCATTTACAAAAAGTTCTTTCTTGCCGTCTTCCTAATTAGAAAAAATAATTGTTTAAATTTTAGATTTGGAAAAGAGTTTAAATATCACTCAAACATAAAAGATTTGTTGTTCATAATGTTTTGACCTTGTATTTATATTTAATCCGCTCTGATCCCAAAGCGAATAAGTTATATTTATTAAATTTATGTACTTATTGTTAGAAAAGACGTAGATGGAGCTGAGGGAATTTCTTTTTCTCTTCACTGTCGAATTACCGAGAGAAATGAAAAAGACTAATAAAATAACACCTTCCTTAAATTTTTAAAACTTTTGCCTTTTTAATATTAACAATATCACGCAAATATTCCTCAATTTCCTCTATTTGCCCTCCATCTTTTTTCAAATAAATTAAATTTTTATTATCACATATCTTATTTTTATTCTCAATAATTCTATCACTTTCATGTAAAGCAACTAAAAGTTCTATTGCTTTGGGAAAGTTAACTATTCGCTGTTCAGAAAGAGTTAATTTATTCATAAATTTAGCAATCATTTTAATATTTTCCAAATCATTTAATTTTAACTCTTTTGGTAGTGATGCTTCCAATTTATTTTCGTCATTCTTCACTTCCTCAATATTATTTTTCTCTTCTTCTTTTTCATTATTATCTTCTTCTTCAAAATTTTTATATAATATTTTGTCTAATTCAATTTTCAAAGAATTAACCAAATCCTTTTGCTCCTAATTAATTATTAAAATAAAAATATAAATTAATTTCTCTTCATTTACCTGTGGTAACATTTCCTTTTCAATTTCATTTTTTCCTTTTGTCATTTCAATTATTTTAGAAAAAGGATTGGAAGAATAAACTTTCCCTTTTTTATAAATATTTTTATTTGCCATATTTAATTCTTCCAAACGTTTATGCAAATTAAAAGAAATTTTCGGATTTTTTGGTGAAAATAAAGAAGAAGAGCCAATCACTTAAATAAATTTTTAATTGAGAATTAATTTTAGAATTTAATTAAGAAAAAACTTTTGAGTAAACATAAAAAAATAAATTTTTGAATGAGGGAAATGTTTTAGACAAATACCCGAGTTTTTTATTGAAAAAAGTAAACATACTTGGAGTATTATGATAACACAAAAGTGTTGGATTTATTTTTGTTGAATCACAAAAAGCCAACAAAATTAAAATAATACCTCCAATAATTAAAGAATAAAACATTTTAATTAAATAATTAATTAAATATATTTTTTATTTAAATTTTCACTTTATTTATATATTTAAATATTCAGACAATGATTTAATTAAAAATATTTTTTTCATCATCTTGAGTAATTAAAATAATTAAAAAGTGCAAAATATTACATAAAGATGCACTTTTCCATTGAAATGTTTATATGTACTTTATATGCACTTTTGATAATTATTTTGAGAAATTTTCGAAGGCTGTCCAATAATTTTTTAAATTGAGAATTGTTTAGAAATAAATTTTTATATTAAAGAGTGCTCTTTTTAAATTTATTTAAATGATTTTTGAGAAATTATATAGTTTTGTTGTCATTTTTGGGGATTTTCTGAATTTTTGTATAAGAATTTTTAGAACACAATTAGCTTCTTTGGACACTAACCAAAAAGAAGTGAGGAACTGCTTTTTGAACTTGTTTTATTTCAGTCTTAAAAGTTTGAAATCTTAAAAATAAATCTTAAAATAATACTACAAGTAATTTTGATATTTTATTCAAATATGAATACGTCGTAATTGGAAGAAATTCTAATTCGTAAAGAAAATTTTTTTGATAATTTTAATTTATTTCAGACAAAATAAAATAAAAATAGTAAAAAGAGATTTTAATTATTTTCATTCTTCTTCTTCACAACAACTTTCAATTAAAATTGGATCTATTTTAAATTGTTCCAATCGAATATCAGAATTATTCCATCCTTTAAAATTGTTTACTTTTTTAAGAAATTTTCCAATAATTTTAGTCCCTACAAAAAAATAAATATTTCTTTAATTAATTTAATTTACATTGTTTTGCAATATTTATTCGGTCAATTAATTTATTTATATATTCCCTTCCATTTTCATTATTAGAGAAACATAAAATTGCAATTTCAAATAATTGAATAAGTTCATCTCCAGAACTGAGCAAATTTAAAACTTTGGAAGTTTTTAACAAAATGTCTTCATTTTCCTTTAAATTCAAAATGAAAAATCTTAAAGGATTTTTTAATAAAAAAATTTGGGGTTGGAAAAATAGTAATGGAGATAGGTAAAAATTAGATCAAATACTCATCGCCTTTTCTACTCGTATTTTAGAACAATTTACACATTATTTCCATTAAATTTCAAATTTAAAAGAGAGAGATTTTATTTAAATATCTCCCTCTACATAATTTAAATAAAAACCTCGTCAATTTCCAAAACATTCCAAAAATTAATTTTTAATTCATCCAAAGTCCACCGATTAAGTAATTCTTTTTCTTCTTCTTCTTTTTTCCCCTCAATTCTTTTTAAATAATTAAAAACACTACAAAGAAAATTGGCATTCTGTAAAATTCTGTCACTTTCCCTCAAAGCAATTAATAATCCAACAGCTTTTTTTAAATTAACATTTAAATGTTCTTTTAATGTTAACCAACTAAACAATTCAGAAATTAAAATAACATTAGCTCTTTCTTCTTTATTTAATTGTTGTCCCCAATCATTTGTTCCCTCCAATTTCTCATTTAATTTATAAAGTTGAAATTCCCAAACAAGTATTTTGGCTATTTTATTAGATTTATTCAAAAATGAATGGGAGGGATAGTCTTCTTTGCCTCCTTCTCCTTCTTCTTCTGTAGGGTAATTATTATTCCAACAAGAAGAAGAAATTTTTGATTTTTTAAAATTTTTTGGAAAAATTGAAGGAAATTTATTTAAATTTTTGAATTTATTTTTTGTTTCTGATGAATTTATTTTTAAAGAAAATATTTTTGGAGGGGTATTTTTTGTTTTTAAAGAAGGGAAGGGAAAGGAGTGGGGATTGATGTTGTTTTTGTTGTTGATGGATGTTTTTAATGGGGGTCCTAAAAATAAATAAAAATAAATTTTTTGGAAGGGAATTTGATAAAAATACCTAAATAATTTATTGTTTGTAAAGCTGGAAATATTCCACAATCAACAAAAACGATAAACAAAACAAAAATAAAAATTAATTTAATCAAATACATTTTTTGTTTAAAAAATTTAATTAATTTAGGTAATTTAAAAGGAATTTAATTCAAAAGAAATTTTGATTTAAATTAATAATTAATTAAATTTAGGAATTATTTAATTTATTTATTTAATTATTTCTTCCATTTAAATATCCCTCTCCCCTCCCCATTTAACAGACATTTCAATTAATTACTGTAATCACTAATAAAAAAGATATAAAATTAATTAAAGATTAAACAAGTAAAGATAAAAACAAAATTTAGACAATTTATTTTTGTAAATTACATCAAACAAAAATATTTAAAAGTGCTACAATAAGCTTTTTTACGTCATTTCTGCTTCTATACAGTAACCAAAAAAGCACTTTTAATTTATTCTCGTTAATTATGAAATTAATAATTTAATCTTTTTTTAATTAAAATTAATTTCTAAAATTAATTCTTTTCAATCCAAAATTCCCTTTCAATTATTTTCCAGGCCACGGATCTTTATCGCAACATCCATAGCAACAAATTACTGTCCGGACAAATCTATGCAAATCCTCCTTAGATGTTTCGATATAAACTTTAATTTAAAAATAAATTTATTTATTTATTTTAAAATTACCTGGAATTGAAAATATGTTTTTAAATAATAAAAACATTAAAATAATTAAAATACCAACAGATTTGGAAAGCATTATTTTACGAAAAGTTTTGTCTTTTTAATTTATTTTAAAGTTTGTTCATTTAGATAGAAACAAAAATGTTATTTTTTTAATTAAAAATATTAGTAATTATTTGAATAATAAATTACTAATTAATTAATTAATTAATTAATTAATTAATTAAAAAATGTTTGAAGAATTTTTTACGATTTAAATAAAAGTGGTTGTTAGTACTTTGGAGGAAATTAATGAATAATTAAATAAACTATTAGTAAGGGAAGATTTTAGTGAATTAATTTTTGGAGTATTTAAAGATATATTTATTTTTCTTTAACAAAATTGTTTCCAAAAATATTTTTTAAAATTAAAAAAATGAATAAATTAATTATTTTCCAATTTTTTGTTTTAATTCAATTATTTTTATTTTATGAAGCTTTTCTGACTGAAAACAATGCTGAATTGGCTGAAGTTGAAGTTTTGTATGTTTAAAATAATTAAATATTCTTTTTTAATTTATTTAGAGATCCAAATGTTCGTTTACGTGCAAAACGATTATGTACGGTTATGTTTTGTTATGACCGTTGTCCAGGTGTAATTACTAAAAATCCGTGTTGAAATTCAATAAACGATTCAATATTTTATTTAGATGATTTAATTGATAAAATAATATTTAAAATAATTATATTATGTAATTCCGAATTTTTAAATTTAATGAAATTTAAAAATTAATCCAGAAAAATTTGTTTTGTGACACTATCTTGCTCCAGGATTTTTGTATTCTTTCGTTGTATACTTCCTTCTCTGCTCCAGGATTTTGTACATATTATTTTTTGATTTTTGTATTCCTTGTATTGTAAAAATAATTTTTGACCTTTGTTTTTGACAAGCTTAATTTAACCAACTATTTTTATTAGAAAATTTTTATCTAAAAACAAGTCTTCAAATTAGATGTAACATTTATTATAAGATTTATTTATTCAAAAAACAATAAAAATTAATTATTTTTTTAAAGAAATATAAAAATTAAATAAAGCTTTCAATTAAAATAAAGAAGGAATGTAAAAATTAAAAGAGATTTATTGGCTTAGTTAAATTTATATTTAGGTAAACTATTCTTTAAAATAAGGATTAACTGGTGGTTGTGGAGGTGGTGCACTTGGATCATTTTGAGTAACTGGCTAAAAAGCAAAAGTTTTTAAAGAAGTCCATTTATGGTGCTAGATAGAATCTATGAGGAGGCAACCCTGTTCACTGAAACTGTTTTTGCCAGACTAGTTAAAAAATTAAAGGAATGTTTAAATTAATATTTCAATGCAGAATTTTGGGGATAATACATCTCATGATTCTGCAAGACCTTCTCATATTTACGTTGCTGTTTTGATTAAATTACTATATTTTAATTTAAAAATTGCCTGAAAGGGACGATTTCTAAAGAGCATTTCTCTATAATATTTTTTTGTTGCACACAATGCCGTGGCAATATAACAAATAAAAAAGAAAGTCAAAGGGATTAAAATAAGAAAATAAAATCTTAAATCCTCATGAATTCCTTGTCTTTCTTCAATTGAAATATTTTCGGAATAAAGATTCTAAATTTTAAAAAAAAAGATTAAAAAATATCAAAAGTAATTACTTCATAAATTGAAATTAAAATATTATTTATTGTTTGAGATGCTCCAGAAAAGTAAATAACCAAAAGAAGGGCAATTAAAAATCCAAAAATTAAAAGACCTGTTTGTTGGACCTTTAAATCATTTAATTTAAAGTAGTTAATTGGTTATAAATATAGCAAACAATTTGGATTTTGAAAACATACAAGCAAACAAAAACTTTACTTAACCTAATATTTATGACACATTTTTAAAATTCCTTAAGTGATACTCTCAATTATGGACACTCAATCATTGGCAAAATTTTTTTCGACAAAAGAATGTAGATATAAGGTAGGTATATATTGGGAATATATTAATTGGAAGTACTTATATTTATTAAACCCTACCCAAAATAAAAATTTTAAGAAGACAAAAATTATTAATACATAAATTATTTTAGGGCATTTTTCTACTGAATAAACTATAAAAAGGAATATTTCTCCTCAAGACAAAAATCGAGAAAATGTAAGGGATTTGGACAATCAATCACCTCCACCTATTATCCTCATTAATTAATAAAAATAATTTAAAAATTAAAAAATAAACCAATCTAGGCAAAATCCATTGTGCATCATCTTTATATTTTGCTAAACAAATAGAAACAGTCGAAACAATTAAAGTAATTAACCAACCAGAAATAATTAAAAGAATAATAATATTATTTAATTCACTTAAAATTAATTTATTTAAAATTATTTTAATTTTTATTTTTACATATTTGTGTGCATTCTAAATAAATTATTTAATTCACAATACCAACAATAAATTGTGCAAATTAATTCAAAAACGCAAAACCACAAAACACAACGAAATATTGGGCAACAACAAAAACAACAGGCCATTAATGTTGTTTGTTTTAACTTTAAAAAATAATTATGAAGATTTAGAAAAGAAAATACCGAATCAAAAAAATTTCCAAATGTACATTGTTGTTGTTGTTGGTGGAATAATTCCTGAAGGAAATATCTCCTCGGATTTTTATTGTGTTGCTAAAAAATATACAAAAATTGTTAATTTAAAAACAACTTTTATTTAGTCAATTTTAACACAAAATTGACAATTTTGTTGTCTCAATTCTTTTCATTTTTCCTTAAGCCAACATGTTATTTTGTATTTTTTATACCCTTATATGTATGCCTTTCCCCCTTAATTTTCTCTTTACTTGGCCAGAGAGTGAAGAATTAGTAGAGAGTTTGTCAGCCCGCAGCTGCTGATGTGTAGAATTAGATGGGCGTTGTATTTTGTTATTTTCATTTCTTTCTCTTTCATTATTGCCAGACGGGGCTGGCAGACAGATGAGAGAGTTATTTGAAGTAAAAGGAGAGTTTGTTGTAGAGAAAGAAATGAATGGATTTACTGGATGTGGAGCTCGAGGGCCTTTAATCGGTTTTAAGTCGAAAAATTGTTGTGAGGAAGAATTAGAGATGGAATTGACTGGATGATGCATGTTTGGCACTGATAAACTAAAAAATCCTTTCATTTTGTTGAGTGCATTAGTGACGTATATTTATTTTTATGTTAAAATTCTCTAAACTTTTAAAGAAAAATTTAAAATAAAAGTATAAATTTTAAAATAAATTAAATTAAAATTCTTTTTTAGAATTAAGCTTTTCTATAGGTGAAACTTTCGATATATTGAGAATAATATTTAAAGAGAATTTTAGGTTTTATACATATCATAATTAATTAGATATTGCAAAAAAAGATTTAGTTAAATACTATTAAAAATACTACGAGACTTTTTAATTAAAAAATCTAAAAATTCGTACAATAATATTGACAAATATTGCGCAAAAAATATTAAGAAATAAAAAGCTGCAAAAACAATTATTGCTCGAATGAATGAATGACCATTATAGTTAAATAAATATAAAATTCCCTCTTTTCTTTTGTTGTTTTTCAAACAAACAATTCTTTTAGTTAAAAGTATGAAAGGTTAAATACGAGTATAATATAGGTAAGCAGTTGGTGCCAGTCGGGGAGAAAAAAAGAAATTTTATTTATTTTTAATGGCAGATGTTTAATTTTTTATAAATCAATTTCAAATATTAATTTACCTTTTAATTTAAAAAATATTAAATTATACATACAATATTAATTGTTTAAAGACTAGTAAGGATTTACAAACGAAGGTTTACATAATTAAAATTCTTAACCTAAAACATCAAAATTTAAAAAAAACTCTGATTTAAATTAAAATATTTTTATTTTATAATTTATGAAATTTTAATAAAAAAATTTTTCTCATTTTTCTAGAAATCCTTCAATTTTTACTCATCTTTCAATAAAAAATATTTTATGGATAAATCTACATAAATAATTTAATTTTTTATTTCCACAATTTTTTAAAAGCGCGTAAAAACACGCACACGCGCTAACAATTTTCCTATTGTTGTTTAACCTTGGAATTTCTCATTAGAATTTTCTAAATTTTCTCAGTAAATTTTAATTCATTGTTAATTCATTCATTGATTTATAAATATAAAGTCATTAATTTTTTCGATTTATTTTGACCTTGAAAAAATAAAAACTACGTTCTCAGCACGAAAAATCGAGGAAATGAAGCTAATTTTTTAAATTTATTACTGTCACATTACAATTTAATCAAAATTAAAAAAAACTATAATAATTTACATCAGTAGATTAATTTTATGAAATTATAAAATTACTAGAAAAGATAGATGTTTTATGAATATCGCTTTAAATTTAATAAAAATAATATTACATACCAGCTCCTAAGCTCCAAAAATTACATATATCTTATTGGCTATAAGGAAATAAAATTTTGCCTATCATAGAAATATATAAAACTAAAGATACAAAATCCCGATTTACAATCTTTTTTTTTCTTTCTGAATATTTACTAATTTATAGCTAAAGTATCCCACTTTTGAGTGTAGTTTTGAATATTACCAGACTAGGTTTAGAGCAAAAATTAATGGAAATCTTAATACTAAGAAGGAGCTGAATTTTATTTAATAAAATAAAATAATTTTTATTTATTTCTTGCTTAATTTCCTCGTAAATTTATCTTTTAATTTCTGCAAGCCATATTTCAAATCCAGATTTAATTCAGTCGCAGAATAGCCTTTTTGTTTTTTCTTTTTATCACCTTTATTTTCATAATCCAAATTTCCGCCAATTAATGGAGTTTCTTCTCCCATAGAGTTCTCATTATTTTCATTTTCGTAATTAATTTCTTCTTCTCCAATTTCGTGAATTTCTCGAATATTTAAAGGATTTAATGAAGTATTTGAAGGATCATTTAAAGGTGTGTTTAATGGAGTATAGAAGGGCGTTGATATTTTAGTAATTTGTTTTGTGTTATTATTTGTTTCATTATTCTCAATTACAACACTTTTGTCAGAATCTGAAGAAGAATCTGAGGATTTTGTTTCTTCGAAATTATCGGTTGTATTGAAGTAAATATTTGAATGTGCTTTTTGAGAAGATGAGGAGGTACTAATTAAAGTTTCTTTTGATTGAATTCTTTGACTAGAATTAGTTGAATCACTTTGTTTTGATCGAGAAGTTTTAGCAGGAGATGGAAGAGTGTATATTTGAGTAAAAGCTGTAGATTGCTGGAATTCTACAGGTTTTCTAATTAAAAGAGGGGAGATTGAACAGTTTTGAGCATATGAAGTGATTGCTTTTCCATGATAAAGAGGAGAAGAAGAAACAGATGGATGAGGTGAAGGAGAAGCAGAATGATGAGAAGAAGGTAAATCGGAAGGAAGAGGAGAAGGAGAAGCTGAAACATTTTCACCTCTTTCAGAAGAAAAATATGTTTGTGCTGAAACAAAAGTATCACTACTTTCTTTGCCAGAAGATGAATGTGTAAGTGTTTGTTCTGATAGTGAAGGTTGATTTACACTCTTGCTAGATGATGAACGTTGTAAAATTTGATTATTCGGAGAAGTTGTTCCCCCCAAAGGGCTTCTTTTAGAACTTTGATTTCTCCGTCTTAATCCATTGTCTGAATTAATAGATATAGTAGGACTGCCATTATCAATGGGCGAATTACTTTGAACCGAACTTCCTTCTTTAGATAAAGCATATCGAGGTGGTGTACTCTTTCCAGAATTTAAGGAAGCCGACGAAGAATTTGTTGTACTCTTTCTATCTGGAGGTATATAATTATTTGAAGGCTGTCCTCCACTTGCACTTTTAAAAGATTTGTTGCTTGATTCGGATAATTGTTCTTTCTCAACGTTTTTATTCCTTTTTCTGATCAAAGGAGAGGATGACAATTCATCCTCTGTAATTTCTGGTATTGTAAGTAATCTACTAGTTTGTTTCAATCTATCACTTTGTTCTCTTATAAAATCATCCATTTGTTCATCACTTTTTAACTCTACAACTTCGTTTTCACTTAGTTCATCTTCGCTTTGAATAGTTTCTAGAGGAATATTTGAGAGAAAATTCTCCATCAATTCATTTTTTGTTTTATCCTCTTCAGAAAGTTCTTCCTGTTTTTCTTGTTTAGTAAAAAGTCTAGAAATCCATCTAGGAAGTTTACTCTTCTTTTCAACAGGCTCTTCAATTTCATTTTCAGTAGTAAACGCTTCATTCCCCCCTCCTTTAAAAACTCTTTCAAAAGTTCCTGGAGAAATTGGACTTTTAATAGATCCAAGTTCGCCGCTAGTATTTTTCGATGAAGTACCTTCATTTTCAACACGACCACGAAGAAATTGTTGATATAATGACATCTCTTCGTCATTATAAACTTCAGCTCTCTTAGAAGAACCTTCACCAAAAGGCTCAGTCTTTCTGATATTAATTTCTTCAATATCAGCCTCAATAGGTTTCTTCCCTTTTGAAGGAGCAATTTCTGTATTTTGAACTGTTGGAGGACTTTCACTAAATTAAGTATTACTTTATAATTAATTTTTAAAATAATATGTACCTGTCAGAATCTCCAAAATTTAAAATTGACACAATATTATAATTTCTTTGTTTATTGTCTAGTCCAATCTTGTACGTATAGGTGGGATTTTCACCATTCTAAAAGTTTTTTAGAGAAATTGATTTAAAGTGATTGATTAAAATTGATTTAAACTAACCTGCAAAATTGGCATTTTTAAATAATGTCTAAATTGTCGATACTGAATTTTTTGGTCATCAAAATTAACTAATTGTGTTCTTAAAGAATAACAATATTTAAAAATATTTTTATAAATTTACATTTTATCAATTGCAAATCCTCTTAAACATAAAGAACATCTGTGTTCATTACTAATATAAATATCGACAACTTCAGATATTTCATTTTTATTTATTTGTTTTGTTCCCGATTTTTTTACACTTTAAAATAAATAAAAATAAAAAGTATAATTTAATTTCAATTTAAAACATACGAATTATTGATACAATAAGTGTGGAAATAATGCTGAATAAGAGAAAAAACTTTACTTGTTAGGATATTTTTTTATTTAATTTATCATTAAAGTTAAAATTTAGATATCTCCCGAAATAGTTCTGTCTTCTTTCATTAAAAACAAAAAAATAGACGTAGTTACGTTCCCAACATTTTAGGACGAAAAAAATTTTTTATTGGCCCGAAACTCAACCAATTTTTTGACCCGATCCATAATATAATTAATTTTGGATTTTAACATTTTTAAATATAATAACCTCGCAAGTGCTTAATTTAACAACTTCTCCATAATTCTTTTCTCCACATATACCACAAACAGGCATCTACATATGTATATTTTTATAATTATATTTATTTATTTACCTGTTCAATAATTAATTCCATTGAAGGAAAAGTATTATTTTGTAAATATCTAATAATATTTACTTTATCTTCTTTAATACAATTTAAAAGAGAAAAAGGCCAGGAAGATCTCCTTTTTAAAGGAACAATTCCATTTGTACCTCCCAAAGGTATTTGAAAAGTTTCTCCTTCCAATGAACTATCAGGCAATTCAATAATATTTCCAAAAATTTTAGAACTATATTTGTTGCAAAACCAACCAGTCGCAATTAATTTTGCTTTATATTTTATTGGGCGAGCACCAACCTCGTTTTTATTCAAAATTAGAGGCGAAAAATAATTTAAATCAAATTTAAATTGCAAATAAAGTCCTAATTCTGAATTTGATTCGTAATGCCCAAATTGAAAATGATGTTCTTTTCCAAATTCTGGCAGAACATTTTCCCATGTATATGTCTAAATAAATAAATATTTTTTATTTTCATTGAGATCTAAAAACCCAAAAATCAACGGAATTTTTAAAAATATTTTGACCCCATATTGTACAGATTACCTATTCTTTTATTAAAAAATATATAATTTACTCTATATTTTCCTGCCAATTTATCAAGTGAAGTAATTTTAATTTTTAAATTAGTTATAGCCTCATATCCTTCTCCATTAACTACAGGAGAAGCTAATAAATAAAAGACAACTTTTCCAGCATTTTCCAAAGAGTTTTGTGTTTGCAATATTTGTGTATCTAAATATTTATTACATCCAATTAAACAATCTAATTGAACAATCCAAACAATTGGTAATAATTTAGGGCCAACAGTTCTTATATTTGGAGAAATACGTAAATGAAATTCGTATTGCCTTTGACTTCTAGGTACCAAAGGGAGAAAATAAATTTTTGTTCTGAAAATTTTTTATAAAAAATTTAAATTTTATCAAATCAAAAAACCTAGTAAATTGCCCTCCCTGAAGATTATAACAATCTATTTTATTATATTCTTTTTGTCTGGTAATTGTTGGATCAAATTTGTAGGTATAAACTGGATTTTCTCCGTTCTATAATTTTAGTAAAAGTTTAAAAATAGAATATTAATGAGATTATGTCTGGCCCGATTATATTTATTATTATCAATTAAATTGTGTATAGTTGTCAGTTTAGAAGTTAAACCGAAAAATTTCTCAAATCTCACGTCGATGCTTACTTTTTTAATGTTATTTTATTTTAAATTATACATTTTTTAAACCTCTTAAATTCTGTACTTTTTATTTATTTAATTTATTTTTAAATAAATAAAAATTTTTACCTGAAGTATAGGCATTTTTAATTCATGTCTGTATTGCCTTCTTCGAATTTCTGCAGATAGTGTATCATATAATGCATCATTTTTCCTATAAATTTATTTTCATTTTTAAATTATTTTAATTATTTTTAAATTTCTAACTTCATATTTATAAGTATACGGCTATCACAGACTGGGCATCTATGCCCGCTAATATATGAACCAAATTGATGAGACCATTCAATATCATGCGTTGTTTGTGCTCTCAATCTTAACAAGTTTAATTTTATATTTGGAAAAGGATCCCGGAATAGAGAAAATTAATTGAAAAAAAGGAAAGATTTTAAAATTTTTGTAATTAAATTTTAAAAATTATTACATACAATTCTAATATGCATTTTCTGTGAAAATAGTCCTAAAATAATTAATAATTTATTTTTAAATATAAACTAATTTATTTATTACATCACAGCCTTTTAATTTGAATACTGACGCTTCTTTATTTTCTCCGCATATTCCACAAGAAGGAAACTAAAAATAAAAGAGAAATTTTTAAATTAAAAATTTCATCTACAAAATTTCATCTTTTTCGAGAGTAAAAAATTCAAAAAATATTTCCATCTTTTGATGTGGTTATTTATAAAATAAAAATATTTATTTAAATTTTACTTGTTCAATAATTAATTCCATTGAAGGTAAAGAATTTTCTCTTAAATATTTATCAATCGGTTCTAAATTTATTAATTCCTTTGAAGAAGAAAATGGCCAAAAAGATCCTTTATTTATATTAATTCTAGCATTATCTCCCCCAACATAAATTTTAAAAGATTTTCTTCCTTCTATTTCAGCATTTATTAATTTTTCTTTAAATCCAAAAATTTTTGTTGATTTAAACCATCCATTTTGTTTAGCTTTAATTCTGGCATTATAATTTACGTAAGAAACTCTCGAATTAAAAGAAACTCTCGAATTTCTATTTAGAGTAGTTAAAGGTAATTTATTCCCTTCATTAAATTTAAATTCTAAATAAAATCCAGTTTCTGAATTTGCTTCAAAATGGCCAAATTGGAAGTGATGAAATTTGGTAAATTCTGGATTTATATATTCCCATGTATATGACTGAAAATTAAAAAAATTATATTGGACTTTTTTTTAATTTTATTATAAAGAATGTTTAGTATATTTTAGAAAATATATCGAGGTATTAATTGTTTTCCATATGTTTATTTATCTAGCTTTAATCACAATAATTAATATTATTAAAAATTTATTTTTACCCTATATTTATTTGAAATTTCATCCAAAGAGGATATATTTACAGCCAAAAGTCTAATTTCTTCAAAACCCCCTTGTTTCTTCATTGCTGCCATCAAATTAAAAGAAAACTTTCCAGCATCAATTACAGTGTCAGGCGTAATTGTTGAATAATATTTTGAATGGGAATTACAACCTTCACGGCATATCATTTGGATATACCAAATTATAGGTTTACCCATTTTATTTAAATTTGGTGTAACTAATCCATGAAATTCATATTGTCTGTCAGTATTAAATAATTGAAATGCACAATTGCATAATTTTGCCAATAAAATTGTTGAAATAAATATTTTAAATAAATACATTTTTGAGAAAATTCTAAAAAGAAAATTCTTAAATGAGGAAAATTTAAAAAATCAGATTAATTCCTCTTATAAATTTAAGAGATAAAGAAGCATTTTATTCTTACATGAGACGGTAAAGAAAGTTTCCTTCCTCTCATACAGACAAATAAACTTATCAAAATAATATTTTTATTTTAAATAATTGTAAATATTTATTTTAAAACTTTTAAAACTTATGAAATGAAAAATAAATTGTTTATTTCTTAATTAAAAATTAATAAAATAAAGGTACAATAAATATAAGCGACCGCTTAAATCCGATAGGCGCATGTTAAAGTGCAATTATTCTCTCACTCATTCGGCAAAATTAATGAATGCACTTTAAAAGTATTTTTATATTTTTTAAATCAATTAAATGTATTTTTACATTTTGCCCTTTTATTCAACGAAAATAACTTTTAAACTTGCACTTTTATTTAAATTTTATTTTGAAATGTTTATTTAAATTAATTAAAAAGAATTGGTAAAATTTCATCATATAATATCCTAATTTCTAGTTTAATAAAAGATTAGATAAATGTATTAATAAAATGATATAAAGTTAGAAACTACAAATCAGTAAAAAAAATTTTTATCTTCTACATATTAATATCAGAAATAGAAATCAAAAATAATTTTCAAATTTTTCTTAATCAATTTTTAAATTCTTTTTATTTTCCAAAATATTTCTCTTCCATTCATTTTCGTGTTGCCCATGTTTCATTTATAACAACTCTGTTATGTGGTACAGTCATTGTTGTTGGCGGTAACGGGACTACTTTGTCTTGATTTTCTTCTCCATTTTTACAACGAAAAATTAAACGACGATAATTTCTAACACTCAGAATTGTTACCTTTAAATTATTATTTTGGAAGGTTTAAAAAGATTAAAATTTTATTACAATTGGATTCATTACAGAAATTGTAGCAGATAAAGTTGTACCAAGAAACATTCCAGCTACTGAAGTAAACAATCCTGGCATTGTAAAGAAAACACTCATATTTGTCATTAATTGAGGGAAAAAAGTTATCAGAGGAAGAAGTGCCTGTTAAAAAGGATTTTTTAAATTATGTAATTTATTTTATGTAAATAAGTTTAAGTGAATTTAGGTAAATCTTGCTTAAAGGATTAAAAGATGTTAATTACAACATTTAAGTTTGGGGGTTTAACTTGAAACAATGATTTAATATCATTTTAATTTCTACCTGAGCAACCAAAACCATTGTAACTTGTCTATTCATATTGCGCATTTTGGCAAATGCAGCTCCTTTACATTTTTTATAGACATGATATTGAATACAAACCCCAAAAGCTATTACAATAAAATACGAAGAAAAAGTCAAAACTGTTGCAAAATTAGAAACAAAACCTGATAGAGGTGTTAACTAAATAAATTTTATGAAAAGAATTTTAAATTTTCTCACTCTTGAACGCATTCCAACAACATAGGTTTGCAATGTATCATTACTTAATTCAAGCGTTTTAGCCAAAACATAATTTGTTAAATGTTCATTTTCTGGTGTTGGTTGGTTTGTTATAAAAGAACAAACATTTAAAACAACAACTGGAGACATAAAAATAATTATTAGAGCTATATGGTGTTTCCAACGAATCGTTACTCCCCTTGAAAATTAATTTTAAATGAATTAAAACAAAAAATATTTTTTATACCAAACTAAAGTCAAGTAACGATAAGCAAAAACTGAACAAATATTCATTGTTGTGATACGTAACATAAAAGCAGTGAACATAAAAACGATGCATTGCCAGGGGTTTGGTAAATAATGGGTTGGTCCATATTCCCAAATTGTGCCAACACCATTGTCAGAAACGTAAACCTTTTTTTAATTATTTTTTAGAAAAATTTTTTGTAAATAATTAAAAAATATGTTTATGTTTTATACACAAGATAGATTTATTTATATGGGCAGTCTTTATTCACTTTAATTTTCAAAAATTGTAGAAATTTACGTGTTTAATAAAAATAATTTAAAATATATTAACCGGCTGAACAAGGGCAAATAAACTAATAGCAGTAATGTCGACAATACAGGTTTGTAGAAGGATTCGATTGTAAATTTGCATTTCTTTCATTGTAAAACAAAGAATTAACCAAATTAGGAGGAAATTTAAAATTAATCCAGATGTTGCCATACAAAAAGCTATAGCTCCATATATTTCTGCTATCATTTTTAATATCTTAATATGGGGAAAATAGTATTTTTATTTTTACGCCTTCGAAAATTCATTGGACGAGAGATGGAACAGAAGTATAAAATAGTTATTTTATTTAACTTGAAAACCTTAGAATTTAAAGTTCTTTTGCTCAAAAAGAGAATTAAGGTAGAAATAAGATAGAGAATTAAAGTATGTATCAAATTTAGACAACATTAGACTACCTATCTTATTTTTATAATTAAGTATGGCATTCCCTGTAATATTTCTTTTATTTACTTAAAGTCTAATATGCCAACAACCACCACTTTTTTTTTAAATAAAAATTTTTTAAATAAATTTTAACTTTTAATTAAACTAATAAAAATATTCTAAAGGAAAAAAATTAACAAAGAAAAAACTTTCAGCTGGTAATTAATTTAAAAAACTTAAAAGAAAATTGCTAGTTTACTTTAAAGCAAACAAAATTATTCTGTTTACTTCAAAAAATTTAAATTATAATTTAATTATGATTTGTCTAAAAGTCACGCTTTTGCACTCTTGGGGGCAAATTTAATTAAAAGTTGGCATTTTAAACTAATTATGACATCAATAATTAAATTGAAAAAATTTTTCTTTTAAATAAAATTATAAAAAATATGTGAATAATTAAAAAGAATATTTAAATATTTATAAAAATATATTAAAAGTAAGTAATTAATTACTGATACACAGTAATTACTGATACACAGGAACGTGATAAAAAGAACTAATAATAGATGGAAACTTCAACCAGCTAAAAATTATTTCGTGTTAAATTAAAAGAATATATTCATTATTTTATGTTAAGATATTATAGTACATATTAAAATATTTATTGTAGTAAACAAGAAACTTCATGTGTAGACTTACGTGCTAAAAGTTTAAAATTTAAACTTAAATTTTTAAAAAATATTTTTAATAAACAATTTAGTCACGTTATTCAAGTAATTAATTTGTATTTAATACCATAAGTTATTAGACTATTTGGCATTTATAAACATTTAATTTTATTTAAAATTTAAATTTTATATATAACTTGACAAAAATTTCAAATTAATTAATAAAAATAAATAATAAAAATGTTATACACAAAATATCACTATTGCAAGAACATGAAAATTTTAGATAGTAAATAATCTTCCTGAATAGGGTTTAGTTAGGAACAAAACCGAAGAGTCGCTGATAACTATTTTGATTCGATTTTTTGTCAATTCTGAATTTTTAGTTTGACGCTTAAACAGTTTTTTAATTTTTGATAGCGGCGCTATAAGGACTAGAGATCGGACTGGGAGTGTCGTACGAGAATCGAGATCAAGATCTCGAAAAATTATCGATCTCGATAACCGAGATCTTTGATCAAGATCTCGTTCCGTTCTCTAATAAGGATTAAACTGGCTTCCCTGTTTTTAGACACAAAACTATTATTCAGGAGATAAAAAATTTATTTTTAAATATTAACAATTATTCAGAAAAAGGTTAAAAAATGATTGGAGAAGTTTATTCTTCAATAATCGTCTACTTGGAAGCAATTGGATTATTTTCTAATTTTCTTTTAATTTGGTTAATTCTCCGATATACAATGAATGAAATGAGAGTTTATAATCGAATACTTTTACAAACTTGTGTTGTTGATATTATTGGGATTTTTTCATTTGCTGTTGTTCAGCCGGTTTATTTATTTTAGAATTGCGCCCCGAATGCTCGGGTTCGATTAGGTCAAGGTAGAGGGGTTTCAATCTGGTTGTGGGGCAAGTTTAGGGAGGCCTCAAATGACAAATAAAAAAATTTTTGAAAAATGTTTAGAACTTTTCCAATCAAAAATTCATTAATAGTACATATCTAACAAATATTTTCCCAGAGAATAAAAATATTTATAATTAGGTTTATGTTTCTGATAATGGTGTTGGAACAGTATGGGAATATGGACCAACACATTATTTGCCAACTCCCTGGCAAAGTATTTGTTTTATGTTTTTTGTATTTATTGCCAGATTTACGACAATGAATGTTTGTTCACAATTTGTTTTTCGTTATTTAACAGTTGTTCGGTAATTATATGTATATTTTTATTAAAAATTTTAAGCATAGACCGAACTTTACAAATTGGCGATCCCGTATCCTGATTTAAAATTTATCTTGCATGTTGAGTGAAATTTGTTAATCCTTTAATAAGCCGAAATTCCTTTTTTTAGCGCCGAAATTGAAATAATCTCTAATTTTAAGCGAAGTAAAAATTAATGGGAAACATCACATAATTATACTTCTTGTCTCTACACTACCTCTTATGGTTATTTTTATTATATCAAGTATAATAAACCAACCAACACCAGAAGATGAACATTTAACAAATTATGAAGTGGCTAAATTGTTAGAACTTGATAATTATACAATAAATAATTATGTTGTCGGTCAACGTATTCGGGTATATACATTTATAACAATCCTATATGGAAGTTTAATTATTTTAATCAAGATGGTTGTTGAGAATTCTGAAATTTAGTTAACTTTAAATGTGTGGGGATATATTTGAGACTTAATTATAAATTGAGAGGGGAACTTGACAAATTCAAATGGAGAATGTTTAATTTAAAAATTTTCTTAAAATCCATTTTAGCGTCAAACAAATTTCATAATTTTTATAGGGTAATACAATTTCATCCTGTTTAACAATGTATGCAAATATTCTAACATTTCTAATATATGCAATAATTATTTTTTGTGGAGTAAGAATTCAATTGTATGTTCGTCGAAAATATAATGGGCCTAACTTAGAAACTATGCGAAAGGTCAATAGACAGATAACTATTGTTTTATGTACTCAGGTAAAAACTAATCAGTTTCGGAATAAAAAACTACATTAAACATAAATAGATATTCAGAAAAATGATGATTAATTGAACTTTTTTCCATTTACTCTAATACAAAAAAAGATACAAGAAACTAATGTTTTTAAACTTCAAGTATAAGTATGTACTATCCCTTTCTTGAGTATGGAAATCCTCCGCAAAACAAACTCAACCCCAAAACCTCAACGATTGGTTAGAAGATATCCGAACTCGAACTATGATTTTCTCCCTCGAAGGGCAGTTCTCCCTTCCTCTAAACGTGACTACATACATAATACTTGTAAAGGTCTAGAAAATATATATAAATTACTATTCCTTTATGTAGATATGCCCTAAAAATTTAATTTTCAATTAATTTATTTAATTAAAAATAAAAAAATCTTTTTTTACTAATTTAAGGCACTTCTACCTTTACTAACATTTTTCTCTCAAATATTAGTAAATATCGGACCTCATTTTAATATAACTATAAGTTCGAAACTTAGTATGATGCTTGGAGCTCCAATGACTGCTTTAATTACCATTTTAAATCCTTTGGTAATTTTTTTGAATTTAAAAATATTTTTAATTAATTTTTAAGGTAACTTTATTAACTGTTAAAAATTATAGAAGACTTATTTTTAAATGTAATAAAGCAGATATACAAACAAATGTAAATAATAATCAGACAAGACATACAGCATTTTCAAACAGAAATAATGTTATTATACCTCAATGAATTAATTAAAGAAATGCTTGGTTTGAATGAAGATGGAAGATGAAAACAATTGAATAAATCATATATATGATCGGATATAACTATCATGTGTTTATAAAATATGTACACATTTCTTTACAAAATATAAAAATTGTGTGTATTTTACAAAATATTTTTATTTGTTTGACATTAAATAAATTCTTTAATTACAAGTATATATACAAATATGTTTATATTTATTCCATCCTTTACAACCATTTCTTTAATGAATTAATTCCACCTTACTGAAAAAAATAAAATTTATTTTCAAATTTAAACTTTAAATTTCTCACCATTATTGACCGGTCTCAACACGATAGATATAGAACAACAACCCAGCAAAACTAGAAAAAAGACAAAAAATTATTAAAATATAAAAATATTAATTACATAATTAGCAAGAAATAGAGAAGAAGCCAACGAGAAAATTGTTGCCGTTCAAGCAATTCTAATTTGGAAAGTGTCCGTTCAAGATGTCGAAGTTCTGACGAAACAGTGCGAACCGAAGTAGTGCTTTTTATTGTGCTAGAAATTGAAAATATTGAAATATTAAATTTTTGGGTAAGGCAATGAAATTACCTAGCCTGGGAAGCCTGTCGAGGAACAATTGTCTGCCTTGAAGTACTTGCCTTTTTTCGAGCAGGAATTGGTTCTCGACGACTCAATTGTTGTCGAATACTGTTTGATTTATTTGGAACATCAACAACGAGAATGTCAGGCTTTGCATTTTCATCAAATTTTGCTGCATTTGACGGTAGATATCCAACAACTCTGGTCAATGAGCAATTATCCAAATCTTCAAATCTCCCATCTATCGCCAGCAAAAGAATCATTTTAACATAGTGCCAGCCATCGGGAGTTACAGCTTCGTGTGCAGAGATGTCCCAAGTGAGAGTTATGAGGGTTTCTGAACGTTTTCCAATTATTCCGCTGGCTTGTGGTTCTATCTAAAAATTTAATGAAGATTTTAAAATTGAAGAAAATTTCTCGAACCGCAAGTTTAGTGCCGCTAGATTTTTTGAATTTGAAGTGTAGAATGCTGTTGGATATATTTTGCATTGAGAGACGCAATTTTCCAAATTGACTGCCATATTGTTTGAAGAATATCGAAGTATTTTCACTGAGAACTGTCCGAATTGGAGTAGGGACCGCAGTTTTTGTTGTCTCAACTGAAGGAGTTTTTAAGGCTGTTTTTGTAGACGAAGTTGATGCTAAGTTATCCATTATCTTCTGAATGAAACTTTATTTTAATCAAGAAACAGATTTTAATAAATTAAAGGGACAAACCTAACGTGGACAGTCAAATGAATGATAAACTAATTAATTTACCGTTTAAATAGTGGCACATTATATGTAGGTACTATAATTTTTAAAAGTACTCTAAATATTTAACTATCATATTTTACAAAAAATATTTACCATATTTATACGAATAGAATGGCTGCCGTTCTGGCTTTCGATACCTCCAAAAAGGGATCATTCAATTGGAAAGGCCATTCAAATGGAGGTGGCTATTTTATTTTTCATAGGTTAGAATCAGAGATTAGAGGAATTGAAGATTTGATTGAATATTTTTAGAATTTTTATTAAAAATTTTTAATTAATATTTTTATTTTATTCTTTAAATTAGTTCTTTATTTCCTCAATTTAAACATTTTATGAATATTTTTTTAATTTTTCTCCTTTTTAGAGGCTTATTTTTTTGTAGCTATGTATAAAATTTTAAATTAACTGCAATTAAATTAAAATATCCATTAATTCTATTTTTATAAATTCCATTAAATCTTTCCTTCTTAAATCAAAAAATAAATAAATATTTAAAACAAATACATAGGTATGTTACTATATAAAAATATTAAAAATTTTCTTTTTTCTACATCTACTCGTGAGGTGTGTAAAGTGTGAAAAAATAAGATGACAGTTAGTTTGTAGAAATGATTAATATGTACATATATGTATTTATGGTTAGCACTTCTCCCTTTTTTTACTATTTTTGCAAAATTTAAGGAATGATGAATAATCATTTATATATTTTATTATTTATGTTACATAACACTATTTTAATTAATTCACTCATTAATTATGTTAATATTTTATTAAAACAATCCAACTATTTTTAATTAATTATCCGAACAAAAAAATATCTAACCTGTAAAAATACCGTATTTCCTAAAATAATACTCCCCCCTGAATTAGTACTCCCCCCTTAAATAATACTCCCCTTCGGAGGAGGGTTGAAAAATAGTACTCCCCCCTTAAATAGTACTCCCCTAAAATAGTACTCCCCCCTAAAATATTTTTTTCCTATATTTAAAAAAAATATAGTAGACTCAATGAATTATTTTATTGAAATTTATTTATTTATTTTATTTATTCTACATAAGTAGGTTGTCGGTTTCACTTGATTCTTCGATAACCGAAACCGAACAAGTTTCGGTTACCGAAAACGAACCGAAATTTTAACCTAAAATTTGTCGACGATTAAAGAGATATATTGTGATTAGTTGGTGGGATAAAAGTGGATTTGAGGATATAAGTGATTATATCGGGTGATAAAATGTGTTCTGGATTGATAAGTGGGGTCTAAAAAATATCATTGCATTATGGTTTCATAAACGAATTTGAGGGAATAATGAAGGATGAGTCATATTAGGCGATTTTGGTTGATTAAGAGTGATAAAGATATGAAATTTAATAATAAATCCTCCTTAATCCACAGATATTTTTTCGTTACCTCTAATCAAAAATACCCAGACATCCAAACACTGATATCCAACTTATCTCATTTGATCCCTGGTGCCCAAATATGGATATCATATAATTCGTAGGGATATTGGAAGAACAAAAGGAATATGAAAGATATCGGTGATTAATGCTGATAAATCCTTAGACACAGAGATTAGGACATCTCTAGACACAGGATTACACTAGACACAGGTAATCACTATACACAGGAGATTAGGTAATCTCCTGATAAATCCCCTTGAATGATGTCTAGGGGATTTTACGCATATCAAGTGTATAAATGTGTTCGGGAGTTCAAGATGGACGTAGAGTGTAAATTTAGATATCTAGTCTTAATCGCTTAAATCCCTTTATATCCCTCGATATCACTCCAAATCCACTAATCGAATCAAATCTTCCTGATCCGGCATTTTTAAATAACAATCTCTAATTCTAACATTTAGAATTTTAAAATAAATTTTCCTATAATAAATCATGGAGGAGGGTTGAAAAATAGTACTCCCCCCTCAATTAGTACTCCCCCCTTAAATAGTACTCCCCTTTGGAGGAGGGTTGAAAAATAGTACTCCCGGGAGTACTATTTTAGGAAATACGGTATGTATATTTTTATATTAAAATAGAGTAAGGGTGAAATACAAAAAACAAATTTTAAAAGTGAAAAAAATTTAAACATTCATCCAATTCATAATTTTAATTTTTTTATTCGCCAATAATTCTTTAATTAGGAATATATTTTGCCCAATAATTTTTTTATTTTGTTTTCAAAATGAAGAGAACATTAAGTAGTTTATAACTGAAAATTTGTATATTGAGTTTTGGTTACACTTAAAATTTAAGAGTTTTTGGTTGAGGGAGCCGAGAATATTTTTTTGCATTTAAATAAATTTTTGTGAAAAAGGAACGGGATTGTTTAGAAAAAGAAGGGAAAGGAAGGATTAATCTTTTCTCAAACAAAAAACTGTCCAAACACCTTTCCATTTCCTCTTATATTTATTTGTTCTCCAACCACTCTTCTTGAGCACTCTGTTCTAGTGATGGTCGGGATTCCCGGTCTCGGTTCCCGAGTCGGGAAATTTCCCGGGTTTTTTGAGCTCTCGGTCTCGATCTCGGTCTCGGTGTTTTAGTCTCGGAAAACGAGACTAAATTTACACCCCTAATGACGGAAATTTTTTGAATTTTATTCGTCCCTCGCGTACTTTGACATTTATTTCTTAAGAAAAGGGAAAGGAATATTTATATTTTTTCCTAAGTTTTCTTTTGATGGTCGATGGTTGAGTGGTGAGTGTGACTGACTTCAACCACTTTGTTATTTTGTTAGGTTTGGGTTCGAATCCAGGGGTGGAATTTAGGCTGGGAAAATTTTTCTTTTCAAAAATAAATGTCTTTTAACGTTTTTTTGATTTCAAATTTATTCTTTAAATATTTTAAACTTGAAAAGACATTAAATATTTTAAATGAATCATTAATTTTTTAAAATATTCGCATGAGACGCCTAAATCCTCAGTATACATCCTCACTTGCGACGTAGAAAATGGGAGAAATCTGGCTTCATGACCACCAAAATTTTTCAAAAGTTTCGCCTGCGGCGCAGAAAATGAATGAAATTGGAGGATTTATGGCTTACAACCTGACAAAATACAATAATTATCGTATACGGCCTTAAATATTAGGGGTATCAATGACTTGTCGGATATCGGAGCTTATGGGGATTTGAAAGGATATAGAGGTGGATTCCTACATTATATTGTGAATGTGGGAATTCAAGGAATTTGGGGGATTATGAAGATATATAGGGGTATAGGATTATGAAGAATATATAGGGGTATATCAAGTGATATCCCTCCTAATCTCTGGTCTCGATTCTCGGTCTCGACTCTCGGTCTCGACCCGGGACTCGGTCTCGGGGTTGATTCCCGGTCTCGGTCTCGACTCCCGACTCTCGGCTTTTTTTAACTCCCGACCATCACTACTCTGTTCACTTCAAATTCATTCCTTTCCCTCATTTTCTCACTTAAGCCTCTGTTCGATTGCAGCAATGAATATTTTGATCAAAATACAAAAAATTATTTATTTCATCATTTCTTTAAAATTTAGAAATATTTACATTTATTTTTTATATTAAAAGCTTTTTTAGTAAAATAATTTTTTAACAATTTTATTCCCGCCTTAACATTTTACTCCTAAAGAATTTTTCCTTATTTAGAAATGACTAAAATTAAAAAAAATCAGCTACCATT